AATCAGTCGAATGGAGGGTTCCAGGGTTCGACCAAAAACTGGCTTCGGAAATTTGTTCGGGGCCCCGACCTTGGTTGACGATGGAAGGGGAGTAAAAAATTAAGTTTTACCAGTTAAGTGGATTTGGATTTCAACCACTAAACCACAATAAGCAAAAATGAAAAATGTTTCCCAACGGTCCCCTAAATCAGTTGAATGGGGGATTTCCGGGGTTTGACCAAAGGCTTCGGAAGTTTTGTTTGGGGCCCCGAGGTGGCCTTTTCATGGCTCGCTCTCGCCTCGAGGAGTTGGTCTCTCCTTGTAGTGACTGAGGTGGATGCCAGCAACCTCTGGGCTCAGCCACACGCCAGGTGACGTGAAGCAACTTGAGCTGCTTTGAGGCGGGAGGTATGGGTGTCTCTTTCTAAAGTGAAGCAAGAGAAACCACCATGTTGGACGGGTCACCCCTACAAGAAGGCACGCCCATATTTTTCTTTTGGGCCACCAGAATGTCGACTTCCATGGTTGAATCACCCGCAACACCTTGCGCTGCACCTCTCCCCAAACCTCCAGTCGCTATGGGCAAAAAGGGGCACCTTCTTTCTACTCAAACCCCCCCCCCTAACAAAAGAGCAACATGGAAACCCCACTGAATACTTCTCACCAATCCCACCAAAAAGCCAAACGCCCGCCTGACCCCCCCCCCCCCAAAAAAAAAAAAAGCCCGCCCGCCAAAAGCCAAAAAACCAAATTCGCCAAATTCGCCAACGCCAAACCCGGACCTCACGGCGTCCCGGGTGAGGCAGTGCTGGCCGTGCACGCACTGCAGGCCGTAGAGAAGCTCCGGCACCGTGCAGAAGCCATCCCCGTCCCGGTCCGCTGAGCGGAAGCCCAGCTGCAGCTGGCGACCCGCCGAGTGCCTGGGAGGTTCAGCTGACGCCACTTGGATGGTTTATTGGCAGGATTGAAGAACCATGGCGGTAAAAAAACAAGTAAAGCCCTCACACATTCATATTCACCATGGATCGATCCACCCATGTTAGGTGGAACATCTGAGTGGTTGCAGTATGACTGTGCCCGAAAATTGGAAGACAAGAAGGTACTACTCAAGAGCGAGTGTTGCAAACTGCGACTGGAAAAAGCTGACTGGAATGAATTAATTCTCCCGAGCATGCCGACTTTTGATGCAGCCCGGGAAGTATGAAGCAACAAATGGAACGTGTGTTTTTTTGGGGGGAAGATGAAGACAAAGAAAAGGAATGGCTGCAACTTGTGTCCGGATCCATTTCTTGGCCTCTGGCAGCTAACAATGAGCACGAGTTGACCTCATTTTTCGCAGTCCCAAGGCTCCCCTTGTGAGGCTCTCACCAAAGCCCTTCGACAGGGAAAGGAACCCGAATTTGACCCTAGGAATGTAGACAATTATGTCCCTCACGAAGCGAAAACAAAGGAACCATCGGAAAGTCAAGCGACGCCAGAGGAAACTTCAAGGTGGTCATGTTTCTATTGGGTAACTTCCAGTTCTTTCCTCAGATCTTTTCCAAGCCAACACAAAGCCTGAGGAACCGGCTGATTGAAACCGATGGTTGACGATTGGCCGTGTCTTTTCTTGAGGGTTCGCCTTTGGTTGGTTATTTTTTTTATATTTTATTTGATTTTCTATTTTTTTTGTTTTTTTAAGTGGGAAACCAACAGGAACCAAAACGAAGCACCATTTTTGGGGTCCCGGTCCGATTTTCCTAAAAGGAGACACACCTGGGGGGATCACCCTCTGGGCCCTCTGCTCGGCTGTGTCATCCTCACACTCCCAAAGCTGGATCTCCAAAGCGGGGAAGGCGAGGCTGAAGTACCTAGATGTGCCAAGCTCCGTTTGTGGAGGCCATGACGTCACGCTTCCCATAGAAGAAATCCTTATAACATCTGTGTCTTCTAGGTGTCTTGACCATGTCTTGACCAGTGCACAAATGAGGGGTCTGATTTGTCATGAGGGACCCTTTGGTACACATAGAGATTGACGTCCGTCCACCCGTTTGGAGGGGGATCCTATTTTATTACCACGAAGCAGTTTGGACGAGGGCCCCTTGCCCTGCTTCCAGTGTATCGCAAAGGGGCAAAGGTTTGAACAGTGTGGCGCATCCGCAATCAATTACCTACAATGTCTGCCTCACATGCCCAGAGCATGTTGTGCCATTAGGGGAAATCCTTGCTAGGAGCCACTTCTGATTGCCGTCCACTCCTAACCGTATCAACCATGCTCAGGCCCATCTCCCCCTCCCCCTGATAAAGACAAAACCAACATGTTGAAACAATCTCAGCTAACCCAAAAGGTGGTGGAACACCAATCGAATCCAAGGAGAAAACAATCGATCGCAACAGGCTGACCCCCAAACAAACCAGTCCACCAGCCGAGCATCGAGCCCATCAAGCCCATCCAACTGTGGTCAACATCCAACTGTGCTCAACATGGAAAGCATCCAAATCCATCATCCCATGCAACCTTGAACCCAAATATAAGCAAACCCGTTCAACCCCTGGCCATCAACTTCCAAGCCAAGCTAGAGCTTCCGCTTACGACCCCCAAACGCATGCGTGAATCCGCCAAGCTCAAATAAAAAGGGTACCAAAAAGGTAAGCTAGTCTATTTGGGGCTCCAAATCTCTCCAACTAGGGGTGTGTATTCCATGGTATTGCATAAGACAATTCGATGGGGGTATCTGATTCCATAGAAACAAAAAACCATAGGGGTCTTCCATGGGGCCATTCGCCTGGCTTTTTCTCCCAAGCGGCTCCCGGAACTCTGCAGCGTCCATGAGCGGCTCCGGCAGCTCGTGTCTCTGCCGCACCTGGCGCCCCGGATTCCGCGCCACCGCCCAGTGCACCAAAATCTCCTCCCCGCGAAGGCACGCCACTCGAACTCGACCCGAGCCACGGTGCGGCAGCGCGGCTCGCGAAAACCGTCGGATCGCGGTCTTTGCTGCAAGTGAACAAAACGGCTCGTAGATGACGAGCTCGGTACTTTTACCGAACTTGGCAAAAGGGCTGCAAATGGAGCTTGTGATGGGTGCATGGTCAATTGTGCCAAGGGAGGTATAAGGGAGGTCTGGTGGAAGTGTTACTTAAGTCTTTACAACCCTTGAAGTATGGGGCTGGCAAAAACAAACTGATTCTGGTTTTGCAGCCTACAAACATCTGAACAGAACCAACAAGCAAAAGAACTAGCAACTTGCCAACAAGAGTTTTGTTGCTTCACTAAAAAACCACAGTTGTTGTTCCTTTCCAGGAAGGGCTGATATGGGGAGAACTGCAAACCTAAAACCCTGAAACCCTCTCCAAACTGAGGGTCACCCGGAAGAAAAAGCCGCGCCCCCGAGCGAAAAAACTCCAATGGCCAGCCTGGCTAAACACAGGGCACCGGAACAAAGTGGCCAAACCAAATGAAACAAACAGAAACTGGTGTCAAAATGGGCCAGTCCAGTCAGGCGGTCAGGCGGAGAGAGAAACATGTCAATTCCCCAAAATCTTCCTGAGTGGATTGGCCCAAACAAGTGAAAGCTTGTGATTTATCCACTAACAGGATCTTTCCAAAAGCTTGAAGTCCAGGAACTCGGGGAGTGAGTCGCAAGGTGCAACCCCTCAAAATCATCCAGCCCTGAATTCTTTGACCAACTCCCTCTTTGGACCGACGGGATGTGTCGGATTTCAACTGGTTGCCTCAGATCTCTACAGCCTCCAGTGGCCATGCCGGCATTTCTCGAGAACTATCGTGGGTTCCTCTTGGTGGGGAAAGAAGGCACTTTCTTCAGGCTCAACAAATTAAGGCAAACAAAGGCACCACGGGAGGTCTGGAGAATGTGGACTCTGGACCCTAAGCAACCTTGCAGGTGCTTTTCCACTGTCTATAGGGAACACCCCATAGAACTAAAATCAACCACGCGGGTACTAATCCTGTTTTTTAATGTACCTTACAGCTGGGTGAAAGCAGATGGCGCAATTCCGCTACATAGTCGAACAGAATCTCACCCGCAACTGGGAATCGTCCTATCTACGTTCACTCCTTTGTACCCAACCAACCAGAGTTGCTAAAACTCTAGGCGAACATTCTAACCGCGCCAGATGACATTGGATTTCCCTTGCAAGAGTTGCAACTTACTGATGTGTCCCACTGAAAAAAAGCCGCTTTTGGAGGTTCCAAACAAGGAAAATGGCTTGGAAACCCTGCCCCGGTCCTGTTTGTTCCACTCATCCCGCGCGGTTTGGCGCTTGATGCTCACCGCTCCCCTGGCTGCGGGGACCAGCGGCAGGCGAGGTCCAGGCACCAAAGGCAGCCTGCGAGAAATTCGCCAAACTTTCACTAGGGATTACTCTAAGCCAACCATTTTGAGGGACCCCGATTTTCAGAAACACCCAGAATTGGTTCGTCTCAAAAAACGGAACCCCAAGGCTATCCTTTTGCGTACCTGTTAAACCACTCAAAAGGGTACCCTCAAAAGCACAAACCCAGCTTGCTATACTAACAAATATCCCGGCAACCGACCAAGCGTAGTGGTCAACATGACAAGAAACATTGTGAGACCAGAATGCAAGCAGGTAGCGTGAAAGTAGCGGCAGCAAATGCCGCTTGCTTCAGTACAAAGCCTGTGAAATCAATCCAACCCTTTGGGAAACCGCGCTCAGAATACAGCTTTTTAAAGGGGAACGCAATGGAGACCCTAATGACACAAATTGTCACACAAGGCAACCCTTTGGTTCGAGGGAACAAGTGCTCAGAAAACATTTGCTTTAGGCAGACCAGGGTGACCCCTAATAAGCCCATCTGCAGAGTTTCGCTGAGTGGATCGGGGTTCGGGAGAGTTTAGTATTGATTTGGTATTGAGTAATTCAACATAAGTACTGGCAATCTTTGGGGTCGGCTGGGGGGATTTGGTATTGAGTAACTTAACTAAGTATTGGTCATTTTTGTTGCGTCGGCTAGGGGGGGGTGGTTCGGGGAAGGCTTTTACCAGAAGGGAGTCACAATCGCGAGCCAGCCCTTGCCGGGCGGCGGTTGCGGCACCGCTTGCTTGGAAGGCACCGGCAGGGTGAGGCCGGGCTTGCCGATGCCCAGGTCTCGGATGGCCCCAATCTCCGCCGAGGGCAAGCGCGCCTGCAGGGCTCCCAGGATCTGGGGGGATCCATAGGTGTCCTTTGGGAAAAATTCGATGGGTTTCCCTTGGGGCATCAAACCCAAAACCAGTGGAACCCTTCTATTCTTGACCAAACTCACCTAAAAAGGACGCCTATGATCAGGATCCAAAGAGTCGATTTTCTTCAGGGAGGCCGATTTCAGCTTGATTCAACGGGAGACCCGGCCCATTTTGAGAAACACATGAACACGGGTTTCACCATCTTTGTTCAACAGAGAGTTGCTCACCCAAGCGCACTCCATAAAGGCAAACACTGAAATGACGACAAGCACAAAGCAATCAGGGTCACTCAGTGATCCTTTGAGTAGCCAATCATGGTACTTGACAAACATCACACCTGGCTGCTCGCACAGGTGTGTCATTTTTTAGGGGACACCCCTGAAAATGAGAAATTTAAACTTGAAATCCACCACACAAATGTCAAGGGGGTGCCCTCCGACGAGCCACCCACATTCCCCACTTTACCCACCCTGGTGCTCAACAGGGAAGGAGAAATGGAATGACCCCCTCTCAAACATCAAAAAAGCCGGTTTCCTTTTTTTCGGGACTCCCCAAAACCGGCAGGGAAGGAGAATGGAATCCCAACAATCCAAAAAAGCCGGCTTCCTTTTTTCAGGGACTCGTCAAAACCGGTTCATCCAACCTTCCACCCGCACCCATCGCCAACCCGCCCACCGCCAACCGCCACCCCCCGCCTCGGCGGCTCGCGTCGGCCCATCCCCGGCCGCCGCGGCGGCCTCCACGCCCCGCTCCGCTCGGCTGAGCAGCGGCTTGGAGGACTCGGGGCTTTCGTCGGAGGGCGCCAAGTCTCGGCCGCAGCCCTGCGGTGACGAGAGGCGAGTTTTGCGCGCAAGGACGAAAGCCGAGAAAACCTCTCAACAGCTCGGTGTCTGCCTTTTTGGTTTAAAAAGCACCTGAAAGGTTGTTTTTTGGGACCTTCAGAAGGGACCTCTCAACAGCTCGGTTCCTTGCTTGCTTGAATAGATGGATTTTTCATAGAATGACAGGTGTCCTTTTGGGACCTTCGAAGGGACGTTCAAACAGCTCGGTGTCTGCCTTGTTGGGATTAAACAAATAGATGGACTCCCGAGTTTAAAAACCACCTGAAAGGTTTTGTTTTGGGACCGCCAGAAGGTACCTGAACAGATCGGTGTCCTTTTGGGTTGAATGCATAGATGGATTTCTCGTAGTAGACTTTGCAACAGCTGAAAGGTGTCTTTTTGGTTGAATATAGATGGGGCTTCGTGGCAAAGGGACCCGAACAGTTGTGAATTTCTCTGCAGAACGAGAATTTAAGGCAGAACTCACACCAACAGTTGTGTTGATTTGAAGGCATAAACCAACCAGACATGCAAAACTTGGCTTCCATCTTGGTGACTTGGGCTACTGCGCTCATCTTTCTGGAAGACGGACGCCCACCTCGGGGCAGTGGCTCAGCACCGCCTCCACCACACTCACTGCCGCCCGCGCCGAGGCGGGCACCTCCGCGCTCTCGTCTTTCAGCAAAGGCCAGTGCTCCTACGGAACCAAGGGGAACCAGGGAAGAAGGCATCCATTTGCTGAAAGGAACATGTATAATATTCCCCTTTTTGGATATTTATAAGGGAATCTATAACTACTGGAAATATGTTTGGCTTTTTTCAGGGGGCTGAAGAGTGACTGAATGATTCAGAGTGGGGCAAGTGCTCTTCCAACATGTAGATGCATACCAATTTGGATGATGATAGCTACTCAAAATGGTGCAGTAGTGCCTCCAGCGTATTTAGATTGGCTCTAATTATGTTGCACCGGATACTCGTCTGGTCTTGAATCTGTGCATCTGCACAGATCGAGGAAATCAGCCGACCCTTGGAAGGTAGCGAAACGCAAGCACTGTTCCGGCCGGGAGAGTTCTTCCAACTGAAATGTTCAACAGCCAGTGACAGCCACAGCCCAATGTTGAAAGGGGCAACTGCACCCATCCTGTCATTTGCCTCATCCCAAGTTGATCAAGTAGTAACAATTCAACGGAGCAACTCGGAGCAACATGACTGAGCCTAGACCGTCCTCACGAACCGTTCTCAATCTCCAAATTTCAATCGTCTCATGCCGTTCCGTTTGCGGCAAGTACAACTAGGCTGGACAAGAAAAACAAATAAGCAAGCGCTGCAACCGCAGCCAACTATGAACTACAGGGTGCTCCTTCATGCCTTTTGCCAACCCCCGGCCTTAGAAACTGATCAGCTCATTCGCTGAAAGGACGCCCCATGTGCTGAAACAAACTCACAGAAAACCTAAGGAAATGACAAGGAGCAACCAAAGAAGCCTTCAAGGCGCTTACACCAAGGGGAGAACCACTTGTTTTCTTCTTTTTTTGGGGTGTCCCCTAAAAGGCACACAGACACACCCAGGTAAAGGCTTCTGCGTCCTGCGCATAGGGCGGCGGGCGCAGCGCCCGCGCTGGGAAGCTGAAAAGCCCTGCGCTGGCGCCACCCGTGCGCATCAGCGGGATGATGCAAGCTCCGCGCTGGAAGGCACGCTTCACCTCTCAGGGGTCTGGGAGCGGGGATGAGGGGTGACTCTTCGGCCAAGAAAAAGGTGATCCTAAAAGGAAACCAAAAGGAAAACCGGAATCCAGCTTGAGTACCCTGGGAAAATAATCATATTTCACATTTGGGCTCATGTACTCCAATGTAGACCATCTTGCTTTCAGGCTTTACTGCTCGTTTGTCTTGTTGATAGGGCAGCAACTGTGCAGGGTGTATGGAGACTGGGAGTAGGGTGGGTGGGTGTACTTGACAAATAGCAGGCGCTGGACAGCTTGCAGAGTCTGCAACTGAGTCTTCAGCCCGAAAACTACCCTTATCTACCCTTGTTCCTGGAACATTCCCTGCGGCGTGTGTTCGTGTGTGTGAGTGTCAGTGTGGAATTGTCTCTGTCTATTTCCATATGTATCCACATACATATTAATACATATATATATATATATATTATATGATCAAACAACATGTGAAAACAAGCGGGATGCACTGTCTGCGTCTGGTGTGTGAATATGCATGCAAGATGTTCGTGAACGCGTGTGCCGAGTTCCAAATCAACCCTGGAACCATCATGCGTTCTTGCAGCAGATGGAAACAGCCGCATTAGCAATGCACGGTAAGGATATCGGTTGGGACGCCAACCAACGTACCTGCAACAGTGACGTTTCTGCGAGTCTTCTTGATCCCTTCCCTGAACGCGGTCGTTTGCTTTGCCCCTGTCGACTTAAAGTAGAAAGGGGGCAGCCGCCCACACTCGACTCCGTCGACTGAACTTCACTCGACTGATCTGAACGTCAACGTGTTTGGATTACTCTCCTCTTGGCAGTTTAACTGTGTGCCTCTTGGAGGGTTTGTGGTGTGGTGCGGCGTGTATATGTGTGTGTGTGTGTGCCGCGAATTGTCTGTCTTTTTGTTTTGCGCTCTCTCTCTCTCTCTCTTCGTGTCTGTGGGGCGCGAGTGTCTCCGTGCGTATTTGTGTGTCTTTGAGTGTCTCTGTGTGCATGCCTGTGTTTTCTTCGCTCTCTCTCTCTCTCTCTCTGCGCGGCTGTGTCTGCGTGTCTCTGTGTGTGTGTGTGTCCTGTGTGTCGTTTCGTGTCTGTGTCAGCAAAGCCGAGTTATTTCAACCTCAAGAAGCCATGCTAAGACCACGCCTGGCTAGCCACGTTGGGGCCACCCTCCAGCACGAGGTACCTCGCTTGACCAGCGGTGTAATGTGAGGGCCTCGTTCAGTTGGTTGAGTATGAAGAACACTGGTAACAATCCGAACAAGACAAACACAGCCAGCAGCACACGATACATGTTGAAATGCCAGAACCGGTCGACAAAGTCGACTCCCCCAAAACAACGAAAACAAACCTGCCAAAAAAGCAAACAACGAGCAACCAAAACAACGACCCAAAAAGAGGGACAACAACGGGAGGGAGCAAGAGAGACACCCCAAAAAAAACCAGACCGGGGGCCTGTGGCCGTGCACTTTTTGTGTGTTTTTGAGGCTTGATATCTTGCAGAAGTTGTGCGCATGTTTCTTGATAAGTGCTTGCCTCTCTGAGTGTCACTGGGAATCTGAGTGTAAGTCTTGGCACTGTTCAACTTAAATTTGACACTGCTAAATGAAGTACTTTGAATGCAAGAGTAAGTCTTGGCAATACCAAATTTAGACCTGGCAATAAAGCTTGGCAAGTCTCGATTAAGATAATACTAAATGAAGTACAGGAACTCTGAGGGTAAGTCTCGGCAATACTAAATTTAGAATTTACAATGCTAAGCGCATTGGAAAACATCGCAATACTAAATTAACTACTGGGATTCTGAGAGTAAGTCTTGGCAATACTCAATTTAGAATTGGCAACATGTTATATCCAGCACTGAAAATCTGAGAAGAAGTCTTGGCAATGCTAAATATGGAATTTTCAATATGTACTAAACTAATTTCAATTTGCAGTTGGCAATACAACTTAGGATTGGCAATGCTACATCAAGCACTGGGAACCCGAGAGTACATCTTGGCAATATTCAATTTTAAAAAAAGAAATACGCAATGGTCGGAATCTGGCAATACTAAATCTAGAATTGTCAATAATACACAAAATTCAACACTGGGAGTCTGAAAGTAAGGCTTGGCATTTTTGCATTTGGAATTGCCAATACTAAAATTAGCATTGGGATCTGAATGTAAGTCTTGACAGTGCTCAGTTTAGGTTTGGCAATAGTATTGCCGAGACTTGCCCTCAGAATCCTGGTACTTCATTTAGTATTTTCTTAATCGAGAATTGCCAAGCCTTACTCTTCGCTTAATCTAGTATTGTCAGATCTAAATTTGGCATTGCCAAGACTTTCTGTTGCATTCAAAGGACTTCATCTAGCAGTGCCAATTTTAAATTGAGCAGTGCCAACTAAGTTGAATATTGCTAAAACTTATCCCAGCGCTTAATCTAGTATTGCCAGATCTAAATTTTGGCATTGCCAAGACTTACTCTTGCATTCAAAGGACTTCAGTTAGCAGTGCCAGTTTTTTAGTTGAGCAGTGCCAACTAAATTGAATATTGCTAAAACTTACTCTCAGATATCCCAGTACTTAATTTAGTATTGCAAATATTTATTTTTAGTTTCCCAGTGCTTGATTTAACATGTTGCCAATTCTAAATTGAGTACTGCCAAGACTTACTCTCAGAATCCCAGTAGATTCAGTATTGCGAAGACTTACTTTTAGTTTCCTAGTGCTAAGATTAGAATTGCAAACTCTAAATTTAGTATTGCCGAGACTTACCCTCAGAATCCTGGTACTTCATTTAGTATTATCTTAATCGAGAAGTGCCAAGCCTTACACTGCACTCAGATTCCCAGTGCTTCATCTAGTATATTGCCAGATCTAAATTTGGTATTGCCAAAACTTACTCTTGCATTCAAAGTCCTTCATTTGCAGTGCCAAGACTTACACGCAGATTCCCAGTGCTTGATATAGTAATGCCAATTCTACAATTAGTATTGCCAATTGCAAATTGAACATTGCCAACCCTCACTTTTAGCTTCCCTGTACTGCATTTAGTATATACTGAAAGTTCTAGATTTGGTATTGCCAAGACTTCCTCTGAGATTCTCTGTGCTTAATTCCACTGGTGGACAAGGTATCAGTTCGAAGTGGCAGAACCAGGCCGAATGTAACCCATGAGCCCATGGCTATTTTGCGCTGAAATATGGCTGGTCCCCCCTAAGCCATTGTTTGGTTTATTAAGCCAAAAAAAGCCTTGGAAAAACCAGAAAAACTCGAGAACAAAAAAAAAACAAAAACAAAAACAAAAAAACACCCTCGAGAAAACCTAAAACAAACAAACATACTCGAGAAAACCAACCAATAAAGAAACCAACAAAACACATGTTTCCAGAATTCTTTCAACATGGGTTGTGCTGCAAAGAATTTCCAAACCATGGTTTGTTTGGTTTCTTTGTTTTGTTGGTTTTCCTCGAGTTTTGTTTTTCTTGTTTTCTCAAGATGTTTCCTTTGCTCGTGTTAGATCAAGCGCAACTGACATGGCTGACCCATGAGAAGACTGCAAGCCTCAAAACGCTCAAAAAGCGCACTACCAGGGTCCCCTGTTCTGAAGAAAATTTTAGGTTTTCTCTGGGAAGGTACACATCCCCCAGCAGCGCGAAGATCTCCCGGCGCTCGGCCACGGAGCTCCCCGCGTGCAGCTCCCGGCCCGCCCAGCTGCAGGCGTGGCCGTTGGGCACCAGGTGGCAGCTTTGGTCGCCGAACTTCTTGGCGAAGGCGTGCTGCACCCCGGGCATGCCTGGAAAAAGGGATCGGAAAAAGGGTTTGTCCTAAGATTGCTTTAGCACCAACCTCTAAACAAGGGGGGATCTGTGGCTTAATGGGTGTGGGTCAGGAAAACTTGGCTGGAAACTTGGGGTGTGGCTTATCCTAATGGGGGGGGGTGTAGCCTGGAAACTTGGCTGGAATTAGGACCCCAGCAACAAAAACGATCCCCGAAAAAGCAAAAAAGCAAAAAAGCAAGAAAACAAAAAAGCAAAAAAGCAAAAAACAAATCAAAAAGGGGAGCCAATTCTGGGGAAGAAAAAGGGGCGTGTGGCTTATCCTAATGTTAACCCCGGATTCGCAAACCCCTGGTTGATTTTGATTGGGAGGTGAGGGAACACCCCCCTAATAATGGGACGGGTTTATTACTCCTGGGTCAACATTATCTGGAAGTTTAGAGGGTTGTTTGGAAGATTGCTTTCCACTACCAACCAAGCAACCGACCGACCGACCGACCGACCGACCGACCCACCCACCCACCCACCCACCCACCCACCCACCCACCCACCCACCCACCCACCCACCCACCAAGCAACCAACCAACAACATCTGTGGCTGAGCCGATCGGGAAGGGTAGCTTCCATGTCCATTCTTTCAAGGACGCGTTTCTGGGGGATCCCCCCCAAAATCGTGGTTTTCCTTTGGGGTTCCTTCAAAATCATTCTCGGGATTCTTTCCAGGGATCCTTGTTTCTTTCTAGAAAACCACCAAAAACCCTGGGGAAATGGTGATCGGCTTTTTGAAAAGAACGATGGTTGAAAAGAATGGGGAATCAACCCCTAGACCGATCGGGAAGCTTAGAGGCTTTTTTGTTCTGGAAGATTGGTTTCCTGCAGACCAAGCAAAGAAAGAAACAAGCAAGCAAGCAAGCAAGCAAGCCAGCAAGCCAGCAAGCCAGCAAGCCAGCAAGCAACCAAGCAACCAACAAGCCATCAATCGAGAGAACCAACAAGCAAACCATCGAACAAACGAATCAACCAACCCACCCACCCACCCACCCACCCACCCACCCACCCACCCACCCACCCACCCACCCACCCACCCACCCACCCACCAACCAACCAACCAACCAACCAACCAACCAACCAACAGAAAAAGGCGGGGTGTGGCTTAGAGAGCAACTGTTGTTTTCTATGTTCCACAAACCGGGTACCCTATTGTGAAGCCATAAATGCTCTTCTCGGATTAAGCCCGCCGGATTCACTGGGTGTTGCCCGTCAAAGTAATTCAGCACAGGTTTACTTCAGGTTCCTTTTCGTCAAATCCAGCCGTTGCTTTCCCATTAGCCTGTGAGAAGTTTGACATGAGAAGTGTGTGCATTGGTTGTTGGGGCGCTTGGCCCTGTTTTTTTTTCTTTTCCAGTAGCTTTCTCTGTGATTTCCCAAATTGCCAGAAGTCAAATTTTGGATCAAGTGCATCAGCTTCTGAGTGTTCCTGTGCTGGGGGGGGGTTGCAGAGGTTGTTCTGGGCCAATCCCCTAATCAGCACAGGCGCCAGAGCTTCTGCTTGGGTTCATAAAATAGACTGCACACTGGAAGAGCCGTTAAGCACCATTGCCTACGTGGAACTGTTTCTCGAAATCCCACAACCTTTGGCGAGCTAGTCTTTGAAGTGCATATCTACGCGGAATGCCTAACCTACGTTATCCTACCGCGAAGCCTCAGCGGCACAAGACGAGCTCCATCCAAATAGAAACTCTGCCTTGAGTGGGCTTGCAGCGCTCTTGCAATGGTGAACGAAATTGGCGGCTTGCTGATCGAACAACCCATAACAACCAGCCTTTCGTGCAAATACCAAGCCACAGCGGCCAACCGATGGTTCTACAAATTAATCCAACATTTAATACAATGGAGCCTTCATTTGATTCAACAATTCAACCTACATTCACATTCAAACCAAACTATATAAATCCAACTATTCCAATACCAACAAATTTCCCAAAAGCCGGAAAAAAAGGAAGAAAAAAAAAGAACAGACCCAGGGGCTTTCAGGCCCACGGGCCCAAGCGAAAGCCGAGCCGAGCCGAGCCGAGCGGGGGTCCTTCGGTGAACACGAGAACCAGCTGCTCCAGCTGCCTCAGACCCTCCGCGATGGCTGCTGCAAGCTGCTCCGTCTCCGGCCTGCGACCGGTGCGAGACAGTAGGGAATGAGACATGGAATGAACCCAGGCTTTGGTCCCTTAACGGAAACCACAAGCGATGGGTTTTTGGGGGACATTCCCTCATTCCTTGCCAAGCACCTGCAGGCAGAGATCCACCTGCCTTGAGTGGCAGGATTGTTCGCAGCATTTAGGAGACCTCCAAATTGATTGAGATACACCTTCGGCCATCTTCTGGCATTGAAACCCTTCGGCGAGGTTCCATTCAGGGGTGATCCTGCGATATCTTGATGGTACATGCCGTCACCTGAGGCAGCGCAATATGGTTTGTGGATGTGTTTCTGTGCTTAGGGATGCCCTCAAGACTGGTGGTTGTCCTCTTGGCTTCCCTTGAAAATGGCCACCGAACATCGGACCAACTAAAAACCCGGAGCCCAAAGACCCCGCAGGCCGTACCCGCAGGCCGTACCCGCCAACGCCTCTGGATGGATGTCCCCCCAAGCACGCAGACGCGCAGCCGCGGGTCGTCCAACTCTGACACCAAGCGCGCGACCGCCTCATGTGGCTCCTCGCTCACTGGCATGACTCGGCCGAGTCAGTTTCCCTTGCTGCCCGAGAGGAGTGCTGGTGGAGGGGTCAGGGTGGGGGGTGGGGGCGTTGAATCTTGCACGCGTCTGCTGGTGTAATTTAGCCAAGCTTCAAGTGCCCGAAAGAGCTTCTTTCAGCAAGGGGTAACAATCAATGTGCAGCCAGACTAGGGGTGGCTAAACATCCCCACAAGCTCCAAGCAAGGTTCTTACTGCAAGTCCACAGGCCAACAATCAATACTATCGAGCCGTCGGGCACTTTGGCCCTGCTCGATGTCAAGCTCGCGTACAAACAACAAGAGAAACAATATCTTGGTTGCTGTTGACCCCCCCCCTGCAAAAAGTTTAACTTTTGGGGGGGTTTAGTGGAAAACCGCTTGATTTCAACCAAAAGTTAAAGTCTAAAGATCCAACCCAATAGCAGTCAAGATATAACTTGGTGCAACTAACCACCCCTCCGAATCAGATTGCTCACCGGTTTCAAGCCCAGCTTGAATTGATACCCCATGGATCAATGGTCCGCTCTTGGCAGGTGGTTGTCACTCACCTCTGTTCATATCATTTGGGTAATACCCTGTGAGCCAAGAGCTTCGCGGCAGCGGACATGATCCACTCGGCGCTTCAGACATGGGCCCGTCTTTTGAGTTGGTAGCCTGACTTCTTGGTGGCTTTTAATGGGAAACCGAAAGGACACCCGAAGCCTTGGAGGGGTCGAACAAAAAGGCACATTCCACATGTTCAGAATTTATTTTCCCCAATTATGACATCAAAGTGAGCTCGGTTGCTTTCTGCTCCCCTGCTAAAAGTTTAACTTTTAGTGGTTTAGTGGAAAACCCATTAGTTGGCAAAAGGTTAAAGTCCTAACAGCCAAGCAAAATGCATCAAAGTGAGTGTTGCCGCACTGTTCCACCCACCACCCCCGGGCCCCTGCATGAAATCAAGAAATCCTCTCTGGGGAGAGACCGGATGGCAAATTCGGACTCGCAAGCCTTGTACAGATTGGCACTTCCGCAACAATCTGTTGGCCAGTTTTCCTTGCCGTCGGGCAACAGTACACATGAAATGTAAACCAATACTAGGCTAGCACCATCCGGCTTCTGCCAAATGGCCAGCATGTCGCCGTCAATCCAGGCTTATCTTGTAGGACTTTAACCGCCGATATGGATGGCAGGGAAGGCCAGTCGATATCCATGAAACCGTTGCGCCATAGCCACTCAAAAATTCAAAGCTCCAAGTTGACATCAAATATCCACTCCATGTGTGTGTGTGTGTCGCTTTTTAGGCACCCCCCCCCAACAAAAAAAAAGGAAGAACAAGACAGAGACGGGGTGGGGTCCTTTGGTTTTCCTCCAAAACACAAACACAGGGTACCAACTCAAACCAAAAACGGACATATTTGTCGTGTCAGCTGGAACAAAAAGGGCACCCAACGCAGACTAAAGGACACTACTTTTTGGGGGGCCCCCCAAAATAGCGGTTTTCCCTTCGGGTTTCCTTCGAAACCACTCAAAAAAAGGGGAGTAACTCATACCCCGTCACATAAGGGCGAGGGGGGTGGCAGTCCCCAATTCCAGTTCTCTAGTCTTCCCCTTACAAAGGAAATGGAACCATTAATGGAATTCCAGGGGTCACCAGGGGTCCCCCCCTCCCCCAGTTCCATATTTGGCTGTGGCTCAAAAACCGGCACCAAAATGGACCCTGGTAAGTGGAAACATGGACCAAAACCTGCGGTTTGCCCCTCCGATCGTTTAATTTTGAGCTACACCCATTTGGGTATGGGTCAAAATTCATCCACCAGACAAATCGCAGGTTCTCGTCCATGTTGCCATTCACCGATCGGGCAAGCCATTTTTGGGGTTGACCGATTTTCGCCCACCACTGCCATTTAAGGGGCTAGGGATGGGAACTCAAAGAAAAACAAAAACGAGAGCCAGGTGCTGGGCCGCCGGGCTGCGAGAGAGCGCTGAGGTTTTGGCTCAGCTCCGCCAGCCCCGAGAGGCCGCCTCGGGCGGCACACGCGTGGGGCGTCGCTTTTTGGGGAGGGTGGTGCCCAATGACAACCGGCCCCAAAGTTTGTACTGGGATGAAACCGTCTCTATTTGAGGCTGCACAGTCTTAGTGAAATTATAGGCGTAACTTCCATGTCCATTCCTGACCCAGGGATCCGGATCTTTGTTTCTAGAAAACCGCCCAAAACCCTGGCAAAATGGCGATCGGTTTTTGAAAGAACGATGGCTGAAAAGACTGGAAAAGGAATCAACCCCTAGAGTCTTGGGCTGCAGTGTGAAAGGAAAACCACAGGAAGACCGAACCATTTTGGGGGCCTTCAAAAAGAAAGGACACCCCAGGATGGTTGTTTCCCCTGCTTGTTTGGTTCTCTCTTTCCCACCTTTGAGAAGGGTGCCTCCAACATGTTGCGTACCCTAAGGGCCCCGTTGGTAAGGTAGCAAATGCCCCCTCTCAAACGGCAATTACTTGGACCCTCTGGCCTAATGCTGGGAGAGGGGGAACTCGACGGGACGGCTGGGTTACTCACTTCTGATCGAGTGGATTGGACAAAACAAGTCTAAACTGTTGATTTACTACGAAATGGTTTTCCCAAGAAGTGACTCAAATCCAGGAACTTGGGAAGTGAGGTTGCTGTGGTCTTTGCCACTGCCAGGTGCCATTTTGGCCTATACTGACTGCCTCGGCATACCAATGTCTGAAACGCTGAATACCTTTCGCCGGGGTCAAATTCAGCTTGCCTTCGCTGTTTGCAACAGAGCTGGAACCTGAAATAAGCATTTGCTAACAGTGGTTTCCCAACCATGTCTTGTGAATCGACCTGCTTGTTGGAAAATTGCAGCTTTGGAAACACAACTTGTACATGGCTGTTGCAGGTTCCAGGGAGCCAAGAAGTTTTGGCTTTTGGGCTCCAGCTTTGGAGCAAGACGCCCGCCATGCTTCAAGGGCCAGAAATGCGCGCAATGCGCAAGGGATGCCACAAACCAAAGCCCCCGCACGACATTCGACGGCAAAGGCCTCATGTGGAAACACGCCTCAGGAAACAGGAAGCGCACAGGATGCTTTCTACACAAAAACCTTCCCAAAAGCCCAGTAGTAGCACTGAAACCCCCCACTTGCAACATGCGGAGGAGATTCTTCTCAGCAACTGCGCATGCCATTTTGATGCCAAGACACCACCGAGGCCTTTTGCCGGTGCTTGCCTGGAGCAGCTGTGGAACAGCTGACATCCGCAAAACACTGTGCAGTCAACTGGTTTTGTTCGAGAAAAAAAAAGACAGCTGCACCAAACACCATGTCAATGTGTCTCACGTCTGGTGAATGCTCCTGTAGCCGGTTGCATTATTGACATGTCCCTCAGCCATTGCCTGGTGCAACAAGCCAGGGACCACTACGGAAAACTCTATCGTTCTGTGGACGTTGTTGAATGCCTCAACCACTCCAGCAAAAATGCCGTAGGCATGGCGCTGTTCATAACTTGCAAACGTCCTCCAGCGAAAATGGGTCTTCTAGCTTGTGAACTTTTCGCACTGGTTTGAAAAAGCTGGCAAGTCGTGTGCCCAATTTGCAAGAGCAAAGTGGTGGAACACACATGGATATGATCAAAAGGTCCTTTACATGGGGCGACCATTAGAGAAACCACCAACAAATATTACGTTCACCACTAAACGGAAAAAGCTCCCCATGGTCATTTTGGGACCCTCAATGGAATATGGATCAATCCCCAAATGGGATGTGATCAAACAGGCGTCGCATTCTCACCTTAACTCTTTTCTAAGCTTGTCCTGGCTTGACTCGAACAACTCGGGCTCCAACCCAAAGCCATTGGACATTCAACCTCCAGGTGTCTTTAAAAGACTTGGCGGCCCCTAATTTTTCTCTTGGTTTTCTCTTCCTCTGAAAAAAAACGCCCAACCCCGCTTGAGGGATCCCCCAAAAAAAACACGCCTGGGTTCCTGGTTGCCATTTTTGGCATTTTTCCGCCAAGGAAGGCACGCAACGCGCAACGCGCCATAACGCGCCCCGCCTGGGTGGGACCCTGGGAGGTGGCTTCGAGCTGGAAGCCTCCTGATCCGAGCGCAAGCTCATCCCAAAGCTTCCAAGTCTTCCACCGTTTTCGCCCAGCGGGAAAAAAAAGAGAACAACCATGTCCAGTAGTGAAATCGATCCCAAACATAAACCAACAAAGGAAAATAACAAATAGTCTTGAGCAAATTTCGCCCACCAGGGAGGGGGTGCACCAATCACGCGAGGTTCACCAACCAGCTTTCCATACCAGGGCAGAAATTGCATCTTCCTCGTGGAAGGTACGCCCCCCCACAGATGTCCAGTAAATGTAGTGAAATCGATTCCGGAATAAACCAACTCTTCTTGAGCAAGTCGAAGAATTGCAACGGGAAAGCGGAAACCCAATGTGGGTGGGTCCCCCAGAATGGTGGCTCTCCTTTTGGTGTTCCTCTAAAACAACGAGAAAAGTAACTCGTCTTGTTTTGGGAATCGGTTCCCAGAATGGTGATTTCTCCTTTTGGTTGTCAGTTAAAACCGCCAAAAAAACAGGTGCCCTCAAAACAAGACACACCCATATGAAACCTAGAGGGAAGAAGATCTGGCAAGGGATTCAGAATCACAACAAGTATTCATATGGGCATTCGAAGCACCAGCGAGGCCTTATTTTCTACTGACAAACATGAGGGCAATTAGGGCCCCATGTGGCATGTCTTGCATCAACATCTCTTTGAGCATTTCGACCCATCCATCTTGCTTGAAGCGTGCGGCCCGATTGTCAGGTTGCCCTCAGCATGGCACTCGGCTTTTGTCAACTGTTTCTGCAGCTGGTGCTGCTTGAATCTTAAGGTGCATACACCTCTTTGTGCAGAAACCCGTCGACTATGATGGATGTCACCCATGTTCAAGATGGGTGAGTCCAGATGGTTCCATCAAGTGCCAGCTTTCACACTTAGAGTCCATCAGCAAGAGGAGGCATCCTGCTACTGCAAGGTTTGAGTATTTCAAGTGGGGCCTCACCTTCTGACGAGTTCCTTTGCGTTTCGATCCGAAGGAACTCGCTCCAGATATTGGGCCTGTCGACATCCAGCCCATTGTGCGACAAAGGCGCGCCCTTTTTTGGCGCGGCAAAATGAAACGATGAAAGATCCACAGCTCGAAACCATGGCCCAACGCGCTACTAGTATGAAACGCCAGGCGCTGGACATTCGCCCACATGCGGGCTTTGGGCGCAGGCATTGGCTCGTGAGTGGACCCTATTCTTGAACCAGGAATCACTGCTATCACCTTGGAAAACGCGAAGAACCGGCACCAGCAGCTCCATCACAAACGACTGTGACCTGTGCGAGCCAGGAACACTATGGTGGCAAGACATGTCAGCTTCCCCCAAAAAGGGTGGTTGCCCGGTGGCTTGGTGGTTGCAGGATGGCTTCTCATTTAGCCTCAGGGTGGTTTGGGAATCCAAACCACCAAGGGGAAGCTGAACCTTGGCAGACTATAGAATCAATCAGAAAGTTCATGCGCACCGACAGGGCAAGCCAAGGCAGGCACCAAGCAAACTGCTGGAAACTCAAACAAGGGATTTGCACGTCAGCTGCTCATGTCTCATGGAAGCCCCCCCCAAAAAAAAAGAAAACACCTCTGGATTCTCTTACAACCATCCCAAAAAGCGTCTGCGAAAATCCACAAGCCCCTTTTTCGGAGTTATGTTCAGGCGAGTCGGAGCAAGCTTTGATCAGCTTCCCAAAAAACTGGTGGATTGGTTTGGTGGTTTGCCATTCACCAGGGCTTCAAATCCCCAAACCACACAGCCCAGCGTTTCTCTGAGGGCAGAAGACGTCGCGACAAGACCGTTTGTGGTTTGCCACACTTTACTTGCCGCTTTGGTGACCCGGCCTGGAGTTGCAACATGCTTTGTGGCCTCAAGAAAGTCAATGAGCGCTGCGCTGGTCTCTCCTGGCTTCTCTTGAGGGTTCCAGTGCCCGCAGTCAGGTATGAAGGTGCATCCACGCAGATCGGCACACACCTTCTCCAGCAGAAGCTTGTTGGCCTTGGGCCCACCATAGCTTTTAATGACGCTGTCCTTCTCCCCCGCGATGAAGAGAAGAGGTTGGTGTATCTTGCCGCCTGCGCTCCGGAAGGCGCTCTGAGTGATCTCGAAGTTTCGGTCCATGCAGCGGTAGTAGTTCAGCCCCCCGCGGAACCCCGACGTGCGGAAGGCGTGCACGAAGCGATCAAGGGCGTGTCTTGGCATCCAGGAAGGCAAATGCTTGGAGGCATCGGCGGCTCGCATGCGATCGCGGAAGCCCCCAGCAGAGCGCTTGGGATCTTGGCACCGCGGTTTGGGCAGCTCCATGGCTTTGACTTCCGCGGTCGACGCGGCCCCAGCCAGGTACACTGCCAAGAGGAAGCTCTCCACATCCGCTTCATACTCGTCTTCCGCAGGGCCGCGGCGTGCTGTTGGGTCTTCCGTTGGCCAAGGCGTGCCGTAAGACTGAAACTCGTTGTGGTAGAGGACGTAGTTGAAGTTGTCGCCGAACTGCTTGGAGAGCTGGTCGATGGGTGCTACCAGCAGACCCACGGGGGGCGTGCTCATAACACAGAGCCTGGGAAAGGCTTGAGGATGGAGACAGCCCAAGTACCACACCAGCTGGCCGCCCCAATCATGGCCCACCAGCGCATAGCAAGGCTTGCCCAAAACCTTCAGCAGGCCCAGCATGTCTTTGGCGATTTCGAGGCAATCGAAGTCCTTCACGTGTTCCGGGGCATCGGAACCCCCGAAGCCCCGGAGATCCGGGGCCACCGCGTGGTACCCCGCCTTGGCCAGCGCCAGCAACTGGTGCCGCCAACTGTACCAAAACTCCGGCCACCCGTGCAGCAGCAGCACCAGCGGAGCAGTGGCCTTCAGCGTCAGTCCCGAATTTGGGGGCCCCTTCCAAACTCCAAACCATGCGGAAGGAAAACCAAACGGATTAAGAACAAACACATCCTTTTGGTTTCCCTTGGAGACCAAATTGTCGAACTCAGTTGCTCCAAGGATCTAGAAACAAAAGGCCAACCTTTTGGGGCTATAACCAAAAATGGTTCCCAAAAAGGCGAAACCAAAGGTCAGATTTCCTTTCGGTTCCACCGATCCGCAATTTTGGCCTCTCCGGCGCTGGCCACCCGAAGCCGGCACGACCCCACATCCACCACCCGCGCACTCATCGCCTTCATCGCCATGGCGTACGCGGCCCTACGCGGCCCTACGTCGCCCCTATGCGACGCGCGCAGAGTGACTCGCCAGGGGGGCACTGGAGTTCTCAAAAAGTTGATCAATTTACAGGCGGAAACGGTGGGTTCACCACTAAAACAGCTAATTACTTTTGGAGGTTCCCAAAAGGGCTTCTTGTTTGCCTGTCTTTTCTGGTTTTTGAGGGGATGTGGACGCAGTGCATGCGTTTCCGGGGCACAGGGCAAGGGGTTCTTTCGCAAAGTAGCTCCGTCTTTTTGCAGTTGGCACCCCCCCAAGAAGCCAGTTTGGGGGTCCCTCAAAAATTCCGACAGACCCAAGTGACCTTCAACGGCTCATAAGTTTCCACATGTTGCCTGGATCATCGGTGCAATCCTTTCTGCTTGGCGGATGGCGGTCAGATCAAACAAAATATCCAAGAACCCCGAAACTGCCGTCAACTCTTTGTGTGCACTGGAACAAAGTCGAGCAGCAGCACCGCAACGGCGCATTCTCATCGTCCCAATGTGGCGCCCAGGCAAGACTGTCTGTGTTAACCAAGAACAGTTGCTGGTTCTGGTGCTTGTACTTCACAGTTGGGGGACCCCGAAGATTAAATGCATGCTTTTTATGCATTGCCTGGGCACCACAACAAGGGAGATCGCAATCTTGCAGGAGTAAGAAGGATTCATGTTGAAGAGTCCCAGCAAAGAAACTTCCATTTGCTTAAGGTTCCTGGAAATGTTCACATATTTCCAGCAGTGATAGATTCCCTTTAATCCAGAACAAGGGGGAAAAAAACATATTCTTGAGCCAATGGAAGGAAAGGGCTACCATGTGTCGTCTTCTCTCCCCTCCTCTCCCATCGCGGCCACATCATCGGGAGCCGGCGGTGGGAAGGGCGGCACTCCCGTGGACATCGAGGAGGGGATCCTGGAGCCGAGGCGAGGTGCCAATGGCTCCCTCCCAAAAGAGCAACATGAAGCCGAAGTTTCTCGGCTGCCGAACGGTGACCCCGAAATTGGTTTTTGAAGTGAGGCAAAACTAAAGCACACTGGGCATAGGTGTCCTAGGTTGAAAATAGATGGGTTTCTCTGGGAGGAGATGATTAAACCACCAGGTCCTTTTAGGTTGGAAATAGATGGGTTTCCCTGGTAGTTGCAAATGGGTGTGGCTCAAAATTAAACAGGTGGGGTGGAACCCTTTTGGTGGACATCAGAATTCGGTGGGGATTTATGCCCACCAACCACATTTGTTTCAGGGGGGTCCTTATTCAGATTCATAGCCATATCTATTTGGATGTGGCTCAAAATAAAGGAGGAGGGGCAAACCGCAGGTTTTGGTCCATGTGTCCACTTACCAGGGCAACCCATTTTGGCACCGGTTTTTTGAGCCACAGCCAAATAATTCCTGCAAATGGTTCCTGGCATAGGTGTCCTTTTAGGTTGGAAACAAATGGATATCCCTGGTAGATGATTAAACCACCAGGTAAACCAGGAATTGCCATCCTATTTTTCAAGCAAAACAACCAAGAAGGACGCCTGTGCTCTTGGCTGGAATTAGGACCCCAGCAAAAAAATATGCTTTTGCCTGGTTAGTGGAAAACAAAGGGAACCCCAAAAAGGACACCTATGGTTCCTGGGCTGTCCCTGTTTTCGATCCCCTGCACAAGATGACTAATATGGTTTGTTTAGTGGGTGAAATTCGGCCACTAAACCAACTCAGCCAAAACAGAAACACCAACTTTTAGTGGGTTAAGATTCTGAAGGCCAAGGACAGCCACTCTGACGCTTCTTTGGGCCCTCTGCGAGTCACCCTGAAAGCAGCGCGGACCCTGGACTATATTCCAGGGATTGCTAGATTCCATGGAAAAACTGGGTCGCTCCAAACCCAAGGGCTCAAACAACTCAGGAATCCTCTGATGAGAAAAATGGAACGGAAATCGCCGCCGCTTCATTCCCATTATGGACAAGGGCCCATGGGCCTAGAGGAAGAGCGCTCGAATTGACGCTCTCTCACCAGTCCTCGACCGCGGGGCAGCATCTTCAACCTGAAGTTTCAACTTGCGACATGTTCTGGGCCTTCGTGAGGCCTCAGACACGGCATTGAAGTAGTGCAAATGCATCATTCCCAGCTCTTTGGGCTGAGACTAAAATGTGCCGAAGCCTCAATAAGCAAAACCCGTGGGATAACGCTTGTGCAGGATCGGCGCCGCATCAACTTTTCAAGGATGCCAAGGCTGCCTGCCTTGGCAAAGTCTCTGGTTGGAAGTGTGCCAACTCAAGCAGAAAGCGCTAGGATCAAGGTTTGTGGAGCAATCTGAAGTGTCTGTGATTGTCTTTTTCTGAAGAGCCCGAAAACACTACAGTGCATGGACAACCTCCTGCACCGAAGAGATGCTGCCCATACGTATGACTCTCGTCCGCGCCTCAGCATCTTGCTCATCTTCTCGGCCGTACATTGCTTTCCTGCGACAGCTTCAACGTGCAATCGATGTCGCTAGAACAGAATCTAGAAAAGTTGGTGCAGCCAAAGATCTTGCTGGCTTTGCCGGACTTGAGTTGTTGCCGCCAGCAGCAGTCTGAATGAAACCTGATGGCAATTGAGTTACATTCAGCATTCTTTGGCGCTTGAAATCAGTGTGTTTTCCCTGCTTTCTGAACACCCCCCAAACGGTGGAAAGATTCAGATAGTGCGATTCTGTTATTATATCCCATCATTTCCCACAACAACCAAGAACCACCAGCATCCGGGTCCCAACCACTGCTTGTTTGTACTTGGACAAGAAATTAAACAAGCAGTTCTTTGGACCCGCGTGCTGTCACTTCTCCATTCCAAAACTTGCTGGTTCTCAGTAGGGTTTGGGGATCCCCAATCAAAACACTCTCGGGATTGTTTTTCTCGTCATTCCATTTCTCCTTCCCTGCTAACCAGCAAGAAAACTGGAGCTCCAACTGGTCCAACCGCATGTTTGTCAAAACAGCGGTGACCCATAAGGGGCCCTGGGAACCCCGAATTTGAAAAAAAGAACCTAGCTGAGTACTATGGGGTCCTCCGTTTCTGGGCACGCATTTGCTTTCGTGAACTCCACCCTGTTAAACAAACCCCACGTCACACATCTGTCCTCGCCCCGGCGTTGGGCGAGCGCGGCATCTCCGGGAACTCAGACTTCAGCTCAGCCAAGGCCTCCGAAAACTCACCGGAAGAAAGTTCTGATGGAAAAAGGCTCCACTTGGTCAGAGGAGCGGTTGAAGGAACATCTGAGCCGGATTTGGCCAGCCTCCCACCAACTAAAATTCCAAATTGGGATGGGCAGGGTTCAAAGTATACGTGTGTGATTTTTTGGGTTGGGGACTCGTCCACTTAGTAGTCTTGAAGTGACTTTGTAAATTCATGGACACGGATTTGGGACAAAGGGCCGTTGCAACTTGGATTCGGGTGGGTCTGTCCTGCAAAAGGATATCCGTTTCAGACAGACGATGCAGCACAATTTTCGCTGCGCTCATGTGGCACAACTGAACTTGGCAGTGCAGCCACGCTGAGACCATTGGGAGCAACTTTGGCGCGGTAGTTTTGGAACCGCCAAAAGGGAGTGCATCTTGAGAAACACTCCATGGCATTTACAGAGCTCCGTATTTCCTTCAAGGCGCACTCCGACTCTGCTCAAGCTGGGCATTTCCTGGCGTCGCGGGAATTCGCCTCACCATGTCCAGTGGAGCTAAGCGCCGCTAGAACGAATTTTCAACCTGTGACGGTGCTTGGTCTCCAGGGCACTCTCAAAAGATTTTGTCCCCATGGGTGATATTTCTCACACACGGCAAAGTTTATTCTATCCTTATGAGAAGACCGATTTGCCCTTTTCTGTGTCAGTTGAGCCACAATCAAAACCCGGTACTAAAAAGGTGAACCCAGAACCATGCTTCAAGAAATAGGAAGCCGGAATTCCGCAGCTATTTCTGGCTGGGACTGCCCCTTACCTTCATCAATCTCCGGGTTTTGAGCAAGTGGCTCAGTTGTCGTTCTGGTTTCCCTCAGCACCCAACAAAACGAACCTCCGATCCGGTCTCGATTCGCTCGAGTCGCTCGCTTCGGCCGCCTTCAGTGCGGTGCGCATCTTCTGCAACTGCTGGGGCAGCTTGCCTTTCGGGTGTCGGGCGATCGACTCGGTGCGATCGGTAAGTGGTGAGTATAGAAGTGGGGGTTGATCAAAAGGTCCGTGATACATGGGCCATGAGGTACACCGCACATATGATATTCTGTTTGCTTGGCGGGAAAAGTTACCCATGGTCATTTGGGGCCCAGGAATATGGATCAACCCACAAAAACAATCGCTGGTCAAAAGCAGGATAATCCCAAGATGGCTTGCCCGGGGTGGAACGTGGACTAAAACCAAAAAGGTCCCGTTTACCCAGACAGAAAACAAACTAATGCAATAAGAATTCCTAAGAACTGTACTTAAATGGGGTGAAGAAGCATGTCTTGTTTGGCCTAATTGGTGAGACATGGAAACACACACACACACACTCCCTCAGCCGTTTCCCTCTGGCCGTACATTGGGAATGATGAGGGGGGAAATGAGGACTGGAGAAACAAGTGAAAGAGGCATAACTGATTCCAGTCGATCCCTTTCCAATCGCAATTCACATGTGGTAAAATGCGATTCACGCTGCAAGCACTCCGGCCAAATTGCAAAATCTGTCAATGCTGGGTTATATTCAGGCCGGGCGCGGCCCGGCCAAAATGCAATAAACTTTGACATTCGCAACGGCCCGGTCAAACTTTGTAAACTTCGGTCAAATTGGGTGACATTCGGGCTCGGTAAAACTGAGTAACTTTAGGGTCAAATTGCATCGAATTGCATTTTTCCGCCGTTTGCCATTTGGTAAGCAAAACAAAACAGAAAGCTTTTCCAGTATCAAAGTGTCGTTTCAAATTTGGCTGAAGACATGGCGGGGAAAGTGCGCGCCGGTTGGTCTGGGAAATTCATGGATTTGTCCCAGAAGAGTAAAACCGGTGAGTGCCCGGAGCCGCCAAAAAGTGTCGTTTGTCCAAAAAGCTTCACGTCCCCCCCACCCGCACACACACACACCCAAGCACCGCGCACACACACACACACCCAGCCACCCACCCACCCACCCACGCACGCACGCACGCACGCCCGCACGCACGCCCACACGCACACGCACACGCACACGCACACGCACACGCACACCCACACCCACACCCACACCCACACCCACACACACCCACACCCACCCCCACCCCCACACCCACACACACACACACCCACACACACACACACACACACACACACACACACACACACACACGCACGCACGCGCACGCACGCACGCACGCCGCACGCCGCCGCCCGCCCGCCACGCACCCCGCCGCCGCCCGCCGCACGCCCGCCCCGCACGCCCCACGCCCGCACACGCACACACAACCACACCCACACCCACACCCACACCCACACCCACACCCACACCCACACCCACACCCACACCCACACCCACACCCCCACACACACCCACACACACACACACACGCACGCACGCACGCACGCACGCACGCACGCACGCACGCACGCACGCACGCACGCACGCACGCACGCACGCACGCACGCACGCACGCACGCAACACTCGCACCCACACCTGCGTGGCCCACGTAGTCTCATGAAAAGCACGCTTTGGAGGATCCAGGTTGTAGCTGTCAGGATTCCTATGCAAAGCCTACACCCTTCTGTCCCTTCTGTCCCCCCTCCGTCTTTTCCACTACGAACCTATTTCTGCATATTGCTGCTTCTTTCCGTTCACAACACCAAGCCTCTCCTCGCACAAGCCCTCAGGGTCCAAGCTAGCCCCGACAAGCCCAAACCAGCACCAGAAGATGTATGTGGGCTTTTTTGACCCCTTCAATACATCTTGAGGAGATCTAGGTTCGCCAATGCTTCGATGTTCCCGCTGTTTCTTCTTGGTTTCCTGCCAAGCGAGGACACCTGAAAGGTGTAATTCAGCTTTCCCCGTTTACCACATCGGTCGGATGTCTGCTACTTGCCGGAGAAACCCTCTCTCGTACCAAGCAAGAGCAATTGCTCCTCGTCTCGGTCGTCCCTCCAATCAACTGCAAGCTCTCACATGGTTCCGTTGCCTCTGTTCTCACAGGGATCCTTACATTATATACACCTGAACATTGCCTTGTAAATGGTGGCTTCCCTCAATTTTGGTGGAAAAAACCATGCTTCAATTGGGCAATGGCACGGGAGCCGTTGCGTGAGCCTTTCGCCATCACAAATTGTCGCCCCTATGCAGAAGGATATGGGTGTGTCCTTTTTGAGGGGACCCCCAAAATGGCGAGGTTCCTTTTGGCGTTCCTTTAAACCACAAAAACGGGAAACCCCCAAAAAATCGACACCCATCGAATTACTGAGTTTGTGGCCAAAGCTAGGCCTAGGATCTCATGATCTGCCGATGGAGTTCCGCGAGGTTTTGTCTCAGCGCCTTCGCGTGGCGATGCCGCGCCAGACGAGGAACGCTCGGCCTCACGGAACTCGAAGCAACTGCCCCGTTGAAACAACTGGTCTCTTGTCGAACGGCTCAAGGAGAACAGGGCTCCCGAGTGATTTCCCCTTAAAACATCAGCCAGGGACACTCAGCTTTCGTGGGCCAAAGAGGTGATGTTTAAAGCCACCCAAAAAGGGGAAATATAGGGACCCCTGGAGAGGGGGACGAACGGGTTTCAGACCTTCCGCTAGGGTAGGGTACTTGCTCAGTTGTAAAACATCGTGAAGCACAACAGACTTAGCCCTGTAAGTCGCCCAAGTTGCTTGCCCCCTGAATTCTCCATGACCCTTCAAAAATGAGGGGCCATGGTTCCTGTAGTTTGGGCGACCCATTTTTTACCGGGCTGCTCAAAATGGAGGCTTGGCCAATCCTAATCCATCATCCCTATAGGGAAGGCACTACAAAGGGGACCCCTTGCGTAAGGTAAGGATTAAGGATTACCTTTAAACAGCCGAGTTTTACGTCGCCCAAGTTGCTTACCCCCTGGAGTCTCCACACCTTCAAACATGGGGCCATGGTGCCTGTAGTTTGGGCGACCCCATGTTTACAGGGCTGTTCAAAATAGAGGCTTGGCCAATCCTAATCCATCATTCCTATAGGGAAGGCACTACAAAGGGGACCCCTTGCGCAAGGTAAGGATTAAGGATTACCTTTAAACAGCCGAGTTTTACGTCGCCCAAGTTGCTTACCCCCTGGAGTCTCCACACCTTCAAACATGGGGCCATGATCCATGGTGCCTGTAGTTTGGGCGACCCCATTTTTACCGGGCTGTTCATAATGGAGGCTTGGCCAATCCTAATCCAGCATCCCTATAGGTAAGGCACTACAAAGGGGACCCCTTGCGTAAGGTAAGGATTAAGGATTACCCTTGAACAGCCGAGTTTTACGTCGCCCAAGTTGCTTGCCCCCTGGAGTCTCCACACCTTCAAACATGGGGCCATGGTTCCTGTAGTTTGGGCGACCCCATTTTTACCGGGCTGTTCATAATGGAGGCTTGGCCAATCCTAATCCAGCATCCCTATAGGTAAGGCACTACAAAGGGGACCCCTTGCGTAAGGTAAGGATTAAGGATTACCCTTGAACAGCCGAGTTTTACGTCGCCCAAGTTGCTTGCCCCCTGGAGTCTCCACACCTTCAAACATGGGGCCATGGTTCCTGTAGTTTGGGCGACCCCATTTTTACCGGGCTGTTCATAATGGAGGCTTGGCCAATCCTAATCCAGCATCCCTATAGGTAAGGCACCACAAAGGGGACCCCTTGCGCAAAAGGATTAAGGATTACCTTTGAACAGCCTTACGTCGCCCAAAGAGTAAGGATTAAGGATCCTACCATTTGAACAGCCGAGTTTTACGTCGCCCAAGTTGCTTACCCCCTGGAGTCTCCACACCTTCAAAGGGCCATGGTTCCTGTAGTTTGGGCGACCCCATTTTTACCGGGCTGTTCGTAAGGCACTACAAAGGGGACCCCTTGCGTAAGGTAAGGATTAAGGATTACCTTTGAACAGCCGAGTTTTACGTCGCCCAAGTTGCTTACCCCCTGGAGTCTCCACACCTTCAAAGGGCCATGGTTCCTGTAGTTTGGGCGACCCCATGTTTACCGGGCTGTTCAAAATGGAGGCTTGGCCAATCCTAATCCATCATTCCTATAGGGAAGGCACTACAAAGGGGACCCCTTGCGCAAGGTAAGGAATAAGGATTACCTTTGAACAGCCGAGTTTTACGTCGCCCAAGTTGCTTACCCCCTGGAGTCTCCACACCTTCAAACATGGGGCCATGGTTCCTGTAGTTTGGGCGACCCCATTTTTACCGGGCTGTTCAAAATAGAGGCTTGGCCAATCCTAATCCATCATTCCTATAGGGAAGGCACTACAAAGGGGACCCCTTGCGCAAGGTAAGGATTAAGGATTACCTTTGAACAGCCGATTTTTACGTCGCCCAAGTTGCTTACCCCGTGGAGTCTCCACACCTTCAAACATGGGGCCATGGTTCCTGTAGTTTGGGCGACCCCATTTTTCACGATGCTTAGCTAGCTATCAGCTTCCCAAGTTGTGGTTTCCATTGGTGGTTTGGTGCTGTCCAAGGTTGGGTGATTTCCCCTTTAGCGTCATGGGGATCTCCAGGTCGCCCTGAACCGCACGTCCGTGGGCCTTCTCGCCCTGCCCTGCCTCGTCGCCCAGCGGCAGCAGTTGCTTCAGCACCGCCCGCAGACCCGCAGCCAGCGAGTGCTCGCTCTCGGGCCTTGGGCGGGGTATGGCGGGGTGTCTCGGCCTCTCCTTTGTCCAGCGGGTCGTTCAACGGGTCCTTTGGGGTTGGCGAAAGCAAAGCAGCTTCTTTTTCTGGCGCAACTTGCAACATGTCGGCACCAAACAAGACGCTGATATTACCCATAAGAAAAACTGACACAGAGCTGCGTCCCACTTAGAGCAGCATGCGGCGGGTGTGTCTCAAAACAGATTGCATTGAAACCAGCAACAAATGCCAATGCAGGTCCATCACCATCAGCAGTTAGGCCAAACTCGGCCCCGCCATCGGCTGCAAAGCTGATCATCACAATGCTCGGCCGCCCAAGCCATCAATGCACACAGATCGCAGTGGTGCCTACTTGAGTGTTCGGTCAATCAAATAAGTTGTAACCGTAACCTTGTAACCCACTTGTAAGTCCCCGTGAATGTGGGGTGGACCTAACGTTATTTAGCTCGAAGTGGTGTTTTCCACCCACTAACTTGGCGAATCAAACATCCAGGTAGCAAGCACCGAACGAGACGGACCGCTACAGCCTCCCTCCAATGGGGCTCCGGGCGACTTGCATGCCTGAGGCAAAGGGCCAAATTGGGGGGGAAACCGAATCGATGGACACCTGGCATTGGTTGAATTTTCATTCGGGACCCGAAATGGTGGACATCAGAATTCGGTGGGCATCCATGTCCAGCAAACACTTTGGAGGGGGTTCCCTATTAAAATTCATAACCAGTTTGGTTGCATTGTTGCACTTTCATTTCGGGCCATCTTGTAGGACGAACCACTGCAAACCGTCTAAATCAATGACACCTCAAGCTGATACACAGAATGCGGCATTGAATACAGCGCCGTCCACAGAACTCACATGTAAATCCCTTGCACATCAACATACCATCATTCTGCGAGGAGTGTCCTTTTGAGGGACCCCCTTCTTGGGCCCCATATTGAGCTGGGAAGTAAACAGACCAAGTCAGACCAAGCATGAAATTATGAAAGGTCTTTCACGTGTGCCCAATGAGCCAGTTTGCTGCTTGTTTGGAAGGGGGGAACACTTAACCATGGTTGGTGTAAAGCCCAAGTTTCGAACTGCACGCCAAGGGTCTCCAAAAATAAAACATGCAAACAAAAACGAGATACTAGCCAAATCCCAAAATCCACAAACAACTGCAGTCCTTGATGAAGTCGCCCGCCGCCAGAATCTGCGCAGAAGACTTGGCAATGGGCACAACCTGAGGCTGACAAGTCGTCTAGCCAAGCCGTGCTTTTGCTGCACTCAAATGAGTCACTATCAAAACCTGGTACTAAATTGGTCTACCCAAACCAATGTGAAGAACTACACAGGCGGCCGAACCTAATTCTGGCTGGGATTGTCCCGTACTAACCTTCATCTACCAGAGTTTTGATTGTGCTCAAATGCTCTTCCGGAAAGGCTCTAACTGAAATATGTCCTTACTACAACTTTACGTTAGTTACTCCTGCATCTGTTTCACATGGTTTGCGATGTGTAAACATATATGTTCAAGCACACATCCCCTATATGCACTCTAAACAAATTGCATATATATATATATATATTATATAAACATGTATGTGTATGTGTATGCATATATACATATGAATATATACATATAGCTATATGTTGATATTTGATTCGTACATCTGATCTACACACATGTGTACATGTATACACATACATACGTACGTACGTACGTACGTACATACATACATACATACATACATACATACATACATACATACATACATACATACATACATACATACATACATACATACATTACATACATACATACATACATACATACATACATACATACATACATACATTACATACATACATACATACATACATACATACATACATACATACATACATACATACATACATACATACATACATACATACATACATACATACATACATACATACATACATACATACATACATACATACATACATACATACATACATACATACATACATACATACATACATACATACATACATACATACATACATACATACATACATACATACATACATACATACATACATACATACATACATACATACATACATACATACATACATACATACATACATACATACATACATACATACATACATACATACATACATTACATTATACATACATACATACATACATACATACATACATACATACATACATACATACATACATTACATTACATTACATTACATTACATTACATTACATTACATTACATTACATACATACATACATTACATACATACATACATACATTACATACATACATACATACATTACATACATACATACATTACATACATACATACATACATACATACATACATACATACATACATACATACATACATACATACATACATACATACATACATACATACATACATTACATACATACATACATACATACATACATACATACATACATACATACATACATACATACATACATACATACATACATACATACATTACATACATACATACATACATACATACATACATACATACATACATACATACATACATACATACATACATACATACATACATACATACATTACATACATACATACATACACATACATACATACATACATACATACATACATACATACATACATACATACATACATACATACATACATACATACATTACATACATACATACATACATACATACATACATACATACATACATACATACATACATACATACATACATACATACATACATACATACATACATACATACATACATACATACATACATACATACATACATACATACATACATACATACATACATACATACATACATACATACATACATACATACATACATACATACATACATACATACATACATACATACATACATACATACATACATACATACATACATACATACATACATACATACATACATACATACATACATACATTACATACATACATACATACATACATACATACATACATACATACATACATTACATACATTACATACATACATACATACATACATACATACATACATACATACATACATACATACATACATACATACATACATACATACATACATACATACATACATACATACATACATACATACATACATACATACATACATACATACATACATACATACATACATACATACATACATACATACATACATACATACATACATACATACATACATACATACATACATACATACATACATACATACATACATACATACATACATACATACATACATACATACATACATACATACATTACATACATACATACATACATACATACATACATACATACATACATACATACATACATACATACATACATACATACATACATACATACATACATACATACATACATTACATACATACATACATACATACATACATACATACATACATACATACATACATACATACATACATACATTACATACATACATACATACATACATACATACATACATACATACATACATACATACATACATTACATTACACATACATACATACATACATACATACATACATACATTACATACATACATACATACATTACATTACATTACATTACATTACATACATACATACATACATACATACATACATACATACATACATACATACATACATACATACATACATACATACATACATACATACATACATACATACATACATACATACATACATACATACATACATACATACATACATACATACATACATACATACATACATACATACATACATACATACATACATACATACATACATACATTACATACATACATTACATTACATTACATTACATTACATACATTACATACATACATACATACATACATACATACATACATGACATACATACATACATACATACATACATACATACATACATACATACATACATACATACATACATACATACATACATACATACATACATACATACATACATACATACATTACATACATACATACATACATACATTACATACATACATACCTACATACATACATACATACATACATTACATACATACATACATAAATACATACATACATACATACATACATACATACATACATTACATACATACATACATACATACATACATACATACATACATACATACATACATACATACATACATACATACATACATTACATACATACATTACATTACATTACATTACATTACATTACATTACATTACATTACATACATACATACATACATACATTACATACATACATACATACATACAGACATGCATGCGTTACATACATACATACATACATACATCTGCAAATTGGACAATAATTCCAAAAACTGAGTTAAGGGATCACCGAGTCAAGGACCGTTCTCATGGTAGGCTCGTCATACCCCCAGGCGAGCTCGCTATCAAATAGGTATACACATGAATGTTTGCATAGGTTATGCATAATTTCTCTATCTATGCTTATAAATCTAAGTCTGTAATTACACATATAAATGCATGTATGTACATACATATATACATATGGTGGTTGTTCTAAATTCCTTTGTCTCGGAACGGCCATTCTTCGCGAATAAAAAAGTTACTTTCGCAAATCTTTCGCGGATTCATCGCTGTGCCCTTTTCCTTGCTCAAGTCAGAAAATCGCTGGTTTTAAGTGCCAGCGTAGTGCGCGAAATTCGATTCCCCAACTCCCGCTGTAAAGTCGCAACTTTCATCACTGGGTAGTACATGACATGCACGGGCTGGAAAGACGCAGCTTTTCGTAAGCCGTGCAGCTCCAGCTTAAAGGCGCAACTTTCCAGTACCAAGCTGGTATACTGACAAGCGCGGCGCTCAGAAAGTACCCCCTTACAATCGAAGCCGCTTTCGCGGGGGCTTTCGCGGATCTTTCACGGAACTTTCGCGAAAAACCACCCACGTTTCAGAGCGGAAAGGCGCCGAGCAAACCCACAGGCACACATACACAGGCTTGGGGCACTAACCAGCCAAGAAGGGTGTCAAACTGTAGCCTCACCAGGCTTTTTCGGCGCAAAAACAACAAAGTGTTGTAATCAGCGCAGAAGGAAGGCTCAGCAGCAAAGATGAATGGTTTCACATATCATTGATTTACAAGACACAGTTACGCGAAACTTTCGCGAGAAAAAAAGTTACTTTCGCAACTCCATCGCGAATCTTTCGCGGAGCTACCTCAACCAACACCGATGGTCACCGAATACTAAACTCCTTACAAGAACCTTTAGAACTAGTATATATATATATATGTGTGTGTATATATATATGTATATATTAGAACTTTAGTATCATGTATCTGCTACACGCATCCCCACCCCCTCGCAGCCCGCTCAGCCCGCCCTCTCCGCAGAAATGCCCCGCCTCCGCGAGCCATTGCCGCCGCTCCTGGGCGCGGTGCTGCCAGCTCTTCAGGCGATGCTCCGCCTGCTGCGCGGCCTGAAGCGAGTGAGCGGAGCGGATGGAGCATCCACTGCGTTTTTGTTTTGACCCCATATATTTCCAGTGAAATCGATTCCCTGTGAATAAAGAGCGAAAATGACACATGTTCTTGAGGAAATGGAAGTACACATGGTTCAGCTACTGACCCAATTAGGCAAATGGATCCCTAATGGGGACGCAGCCGGCACTGAAGGAGCCCGTAGCATCCGAGACGCGTCCAACTGGTTTTGGGGTTGAAAAAACGACCCTTGGCAATACTCAAGTAGAATTGGCAATGCTAATGTAAGTGCCCCTCCCGGACCTCCAGGATCTCACTAAAGAGAGTCCCGCCGACTGGTTCCACTGTTCAGGGGGGGGGTCACACTAAAGAGAGTCCAACATTAAGCTAGAGTCCACGTCACCCAGGAACCAGAGCTTGATTTTTCATGGTTCATGGATTCAATAGATCCCAGTTGCCAGCCACACTCTTCGCCAATTTCCTGCTAGTCTTTAAACCAGGGCGAGACTGGAGAAGTACATGAGATGCGCGCGACGAATTCGAAGGTTTGAACCAGCCCACCGCTGCTTGGACTAGTCGATCCCAGGCAAAACCCATAGGTAACCAGCGATCTTCTTGTTGTTTCTTGTTGTTTTTGAAGGGTTCCAATGGTTCGGGTTGTCCAAGGGGGCATTTCCCCGATGTGGGTAAAAGGTTGCCCACTTGATTCCAGGCAAACCCAACAAACATCTTCGGCCATGGTTGGTGTAGGGAACCCAACGCAGTCGCCGGAAGGCTTTCCGCAAAGCTCGTCCTGGACTGCAAACCAACCTTCCCTTTCGTATCCTTCGTTTGCTTAAGCCCCCCCGAAAAAAAACATGTCCAGTAGTGATAGATGCCCTGTAAACAAAACAGGGACAACAAGCCACATTCTTAAGCATATGGAATTTATGTGACATGTTTTTGGGGAAACCTCTCTCAACATGTTCTAGGTTTGTTTTGAGGCTATCCTTTTCACCCTGGTTTACAAGGCAACCAATAGGAACACCACATTTGTTGAGGTTTTACCACGTGGCGTTGTGTCTACATCAACCCCCAAACTGGGCAGTGTACCTTTGCACCCCTTGTTTGCGCCACCTTTAACACGGAATACCCCGAAATGGCTTCGGCATTCCTTTTGGTTTCGTTGAAACCAATCCCAAAAGAAGGTACTAGTAGCCCCAAAAACGAACACGCGGTTTTGGTGTCCATTTGGCAAAATAGATCTGATATAATGGAACCAAGCTGCAACCAGTGGAACCCATCTATTTTCCAGCAAACTCACCCAACAAGGCCACTTCCGCTCAGATGCCGGGCGGATTTCCATGGGAAAGAAAGGGCATCTATTTTCTGGTTGCTTGAGTTTAAAAGGGGCCCCCGAAAAAGGAGAAAGCCCTTCCCTGGGGGGTAAAATGCTTTTAAAACAAAGGCCGTTACATGAACATCCTTTGTTTGACTAGCTGGGGGATGGGGGCCTGGGTGGAATTCCAACTTTACATCGTCAGCAACAAGCCTTTTCCACACCAAGCTAGACTTGCGAAGGCCTCAGCGTTAAAGCAGCACATGTCTGCATCATCAATGGAACAATCATGGTCTTCCCGAAAACATCCATTCAGCAGGACCTTTTCAAACCATGCAGGAAACAACGCCAGCCAGGACCAATGTGAGTGGTTCTTCGCCTGCCAAATTTCACGGCGTTTCACGGTCTTTCACTGCAAAAAAAAGGCGTGCGCGCCAATTTCACGGCATTTTCACGCTTTTCTCTTGTCGATTTCCCATTGCTAAGCCCATGATGGGTATGTGTTTTTTTGACGTGGCCGTGCCGGGAGGTTGGTATAAGGGGTATGAATCGCAGGAATGGTTCGGGGTATGGCTCGGGGGTATGATTCGGGGTATGGCTCGCGCGCCTCTGAACTCTTGCTTTGTGGCTTTGGACACTGCAAAGCTCCCGTGCGCTGGCACTGGCAACTGGATAGCCGTGAGAATTTGGACCGCTTAGTTGCTACAAGCCAGCCTGGGGCGCTTTTGAGTGGCCTGAACTAGACAGCTGCCACTCTGCGTGAGTGGGTTAGCGAAAGCTGCTGCGCTAGGTGGAAGGCCTGAGGCGAACGTCATGGCCACCTCCACTTGGAGTTCAAGCGACCCGCGTGCTCACAGACCCAAGCAAGCGTTGCTTAAGGGGAAGCGCCGCTGCCCAGGCAGGCCCGCCACCCGCACCAGTCACGAACCAGCGTAAGGGCAAGACAACATGACATCCTCAAACGGCAGCCGCGCAGAGGCTAGTGGGCCTCTCACAGGTGGTGCACCGTGTCGCGCTTGATACATCGCAGTAAGCCTTCCGAACCCACCTTCTGGCGAACTTCTGCGAAAAGAGCCGCGAGCTGGTTCCTGCAGTGCTTCTCTTTGAGTTTTGTGTCTTCTGAGGATTCGGGCGGCATAGCTTCGCTAGTACTGCCCAGCGCGCAAGAGGCTCTTGGCTGCAAATGGCAGCAGAAGGGTATGAATCGGGGTATGAATCGGGTATGAATCGGGGGTATGAATCGCGGGACAGATTTTTTTCGACCGGAAAGACACCAAGAGTACCCCAGGAGCACAAAGACAGCTTGTGTTTCACTGCGACAGTGGCCCAGGACAGACAACTGTTTCCACCGCGTCGGACAGACTGCAGGAAGCAAGCTCCAAGCTTCAAGCCCAGCAGCGGCACCCCCCGCCACAGCGCCCTGCAAGTCCTAGCGTCTTACGTCAAGCTGCACCCCTCCGCCACAGCACCACGGATGCTACAGACAACTCTAGTACCAGGACATCCGCAGGATTGCTCCATAACTCCATCCATTGGCACTTTCCATTGAAATAGCAAGCCAAGACCGAGTGTCAAGGAACACCACTTGAGAGGAAATGGCCCTTCACGAGTAACCAGTGAGTGTGTGAGTGGACATGTCAACTGTACTTGGCCCCATGACATCAGAGCCCAACCATGCAAGCATCGCAGACTCAAGAATAGATCCAGGAACCACAAGTGAACCAGGTATTACCTCGGAGTCCCTACCCCCTGGCATCGGTCCACATGTCAAGCTCTCTAACACTGTTTCTTGACAAGACCCCCTTCTTCACTTGAAGTTAAACCCCCTATAGCTTCCAGCTATCCATGGATCACATGCAAATGCCACAGTTCTTGCAAGTTGTTTGGTGTTTTTTAAGGGGTATGACTCGGGGTATGGCTCGGGGGTATGGTTCGGGGTATGATTCGGGGGTATGGCTCGCCCAAGCCCCACCTCCCACGAAGACTAAAGAACTGACACGGTAAAAAAACACAGACCCCAATGTCTCTAGAAATCCCACAAAGTTGAAGACCTTGAGCATTGACCAGCTTCAACATGTCTACATGGTTTTCGCGAGTCTTTGGAAAGCGTACTTTTCAGCCACAAGCACTGCAAAGCCATGTGGCCACTAATGCGGCCAACACAAAACGCTCAACCCAATTAAAAGCGTCCAGCTTGCAAACAAAGGACGTTCCCCACATTTCACGGCCGCTTCCTAAAGGCCTTTCTTTTTAAGGCCCCCGAACCCCCGGGCCTTAAACCCCGCCGCCCCCCCCCCCCCCGTTCCGCCTGCCCGCACTCCTCCGCCTCAGCACGAAGCTGTGCCGCCTGGCAGCTGGCCTCGAGAGAAGACGAGTTGCGGGTTCTGCGTTTTGGTTTGCACGGTCTTGCCGTTGGGCTTGGTTTTGGGGGTTGGATGGATTTTGGGGGATAGTTTGATTTTGGGGTCTGGTTTTGGGGTCTGGTTTTGGGGTCTGGTTTTGGTTGGGGTGTGGCTTTGGTTGGTTTGGTTGGCTTGAGTTGGTGTTGGTTGGTTTGGCATTTGGTTTGGTTTTGGTTGTTTCCAGATTATGTTTCATATTTAGTCTACCCCACATCGAAGAGGGTTCTTCAAACCTGGGTCCCTAATCTGAATACTCTTTGTGCGGGGCTCCCGGACAATTCCCTGACACCACCGGAGAAGTCGCCGTTTAAAGGGGACACCAAGAAGAACCGCTGGAGGGATTGAGGAATTTCAAACCCGACTTTGGGGAGCAGACCTGACATCTTGCCCGGCCACAGTACCATTCCAAGGCATCTCAAAAGGCAAACCCTACACAAAAGAGTTCCTTTCAACTATCCTAAAACGGGCTTTAGTCCGGGGCAATTTTGGGCCCAGCGTAGCCTCCCAACAGAAACCTCCAATACACAAGGAGCTCTTGCAAGGGGCCTTGCTTGAGGTGGAGTCAAATGGTGCTACCTGAACCCCAGGCGCTTCAACCTCCCTTGCAGTTCGCACCGATCTGGGGGTAAATATCTGATCGCCCGTCTCTACAAGATTCAGTGGCCAGCTCGTAAAGTTTATCTCAGATCCCCAGTGGCCATGGAAAACAAGAGCACCTTTTTTTGTTGGTTGAGTTTAAAGGGGGAACCCTTACCCAAAAAAACGGAAAAAGGGCACAACGGTGCAACAGAGTTATCTTGCTGCAATCGTACACCGACCCTCCACATCAATCGAAGCCGGGCTCCTTTTGCGGGTCAACAAAAGTTCGAACACCCTACTTGAGTTGTCTGCGGAGAAAACCGGACCATTTGTTGGCAACTGGCTTCGCAAGCGGCCAAAAAAACACGCAACAGGATGATGCAATATCTGCAAGGATGTCGAACAAACTATCAAGCGCATTCTGACGCGAAAGTCCCCCCCCCGAAGAAAAACACAACCTACCTGTCAGTTTTCTTTCACGTGCATTCCTATAGTCCTTGCTCGACTGGCTGCCTGGAAGCGCCGAAATGGGTCATTCAAGACACCATCCACGAGTCTCGACTTGGGAACATTCCCACACCCAGTTTGATTTAGCCAGTTCGTTTCTGCCAAGGAAAACTTGGCTGGTGCGATAAGCAGGGAATGAGACATGGAATGAACCCAGGCTTTGGTCCCTCAAAGGAAGCCACAAGGGAGGGTTTAAAGGTGTTCTTCCCTCATTCCCTGCTGAGCACCAGCAAGAATACTTCCCTGCTGAATGCCCGGTGGTATTGGTGAACTGCGATGTCGCACATGGAAGATTGCCTAGTCCTGAATATAGCGGGTTGAGTTGTTCCTTGAATCCACAAATTTCGCGCGACTGGGAATCGATTCACACCCCCTGTTTGCAGGGGTTTGAGATGGATTGGAGCGCAGTTGCAAGTTGAAGCCTGCTAAATGAGTCCACCGTAGCATTTACCCCACATACCACCCACTCAGGGAACTTACCGAATCCAAATCGGGATGGTCCTCCAACTGTGACGCACCAATTTGATCTTGGCGTATACCCCTTGGCCAAATCTACCTCAGCTGTTGCTCCCAACTAGCTTTGATTCTGGTCAGTGAAACTTGAAATGTATATATATATATATATGTATACAAACAAAACAACTAAACAAATGCCATAACTGGTCCAGAACAACCCCGTCAGCCCTCGCCTTCTAGTCACCTCCCCTCGCCTCGCCTCATACTTCGCCCTGGCGTCCATGTCCGCGTGGAGGCTCTGAACTTCAGACCTGAAGGCGGGAGAGAGACAACGCCGGTTTCGACCGAATCAATCTAAGGGCTTTTGCATTACACCCTGGGAATACACCCACTGGGTGATTGATTGCCTCCATGTTAGGCACATTTCCGGATATAGCCGTGTCATTTCGAGCCATTCTGGGTCATTTCCCCAGGGTGTAATCCCAGAATACGTGCAAAATCCCGACAAAGATCACTTCCAAAGAACCCCTCCTGATGTCGACCCCTACGAATATGTCCGGTGCTGAACACTTGCGGGAACCATTGACTTTCTTTCTACCGCGGATGAAGCTGCCTGAGCTCATCCAGACTGCACGCGGAACGAGCTCAACTTCACAAGCGCAGGCAACCCCAAAGGTATCGAGTCTTCCCAAGGCATGATGAAGCACATGGCGAGAAGCTGTGGCCTAGCTCACGTATACACATCGCAGAAGTCGACATCTGCAACAGCGCTCTCCAAAAGAAGAAGCGACTAGTGTTTGAGGCAGAGTGAATTAACAGCACACAGGGGTTAAGATGCCTTGACACATCATGCTGCCAAAAGGAAGTTCACTTTGAAATGGCCGGAACATATAAATGAGGTTTCAAGGGAGGGGGGAACCCTGAAAACAGCCCACAATGAGGTTTCAAGGAAGGGGGGAACCCTGAAAACAGACCAAGCACCCTGAGGAGTGGGTCGGTCTACACATCCGGAACCGGAACCACTAGTCGGCTTGGAATCCATCCGATAACGATGGCTTGCTAGGAGATGTTCATGATCTTCAAAAACAGCTTCCCTTTGCGCTGCCCAAGTCGCTCAACGCTCGAAGCTTGCTACAAACTCCTGTGACCTAAATCGTGGAGATGAAACAAGCGGGTTCAGCACTGTTGCCTGGCTTGGGTCGGGATTCTCGCAAAGTTGACATCAGCCACACGGTTTTGTGGCAATGAATTTCAATGCAGAGCACCCAAAAGGGGTCTTTTGTGTCAATTTTTGAAGTTGGTATTTTTTTTTGTACATTTCGAGGGGTCCAACCTTTAAATGGGAACCCAAATCGGTACATAGTGCTCACAACTCACCCCGGACCCCCACAACCGGACCGGGTCCCGCACTCCAAGGCCTCGCGGAATTGGACCTGGAGATGGCTTGACCCAAAGCCAACTTGGGTTACGAGTTCCACGACTTTTTGGTGGATGTCATCCTTGGCTGGCGGCCTTTTGCCTTTGCCTCCCTGCTCCTTGCTTTTTGTTTACCTTCCAAACCAGCTGTTCTTTCTAGTCAGACAGCTGGGTAACACGAATGTAGCCTATTTCACAAACATGGCGGTTTATGGCTACTGACTTTTGAGGACATTTTTGTCGCCAGAATTTGCAGCCTCAACAGGTGCTGACATGATGAAAACAAAAACGATCCCACATGATTTCAGAATTGGATCCGGGAGTTTATGGCCACCGTCGGACGTAGCAGAATTCATAGCCTCTTGTCTCAAGTGGCGCAGTCAATACGTGCTGGGCAACGAGTCCATGGCAGAGTTTTTCATGGCTTCTTCAAGCGGTTCAACTCAAGCGAATCAGCGAAACTTCCGCATGACTTAGCGTCCGGATCGCCAAGCTGACGCGAATGTGCGCATGTGCTTTTCAATTTACAAGGTCTCCTTGCCAAAATCCCAAAGGGACACAAATCGAAGATGAGCTCACTCAACGCGCAAGACAGAATTCAACAACCAGGAAAAGGAACCCATCAGCCAGCCCAAATCAACATGGAACCTCAACACCCCCGCCCCATTTGTCGAGAAACCAGCAGAATGCCCTTTACGCGGCCCCCGCTGGGGACACTCCCAGAGATCCGGCCTCCTGCTCCTCGCTGCGCTCCTGCTTCTTCAGCACCTGCGTATCGATGAGAGAGGGTTCCGGATAGGTGTCCAAGCGTGAATTATATATTTATATATAAATATGTTGTATATGTACATCTATATATATATATATGTATATATATATATAATATGGCGTTGTACAATGTTCTGACAAGGGACAGTCAATTCAAACCGTCCCAATGGGAAACACTCTCTTTGGGAGAAATCCACCAAAAGGGCCAGGACAACGCCCCTTTACCAGCCCAGCGGAGAGCCAAGTAGTGGAATGATCCAGCCAGCTGCTTTCGCGCCTGAGCACTTGGCTTGAAGTCTTTGACATCTTCTTCCGCTTCGCCTCGTTTTGCAACACATGTTCTAGTGTGTTCTATGTTCGCCTGGCGGCGTTCGAGCATAGGACATGGCGTTCGAGCATAGGACATGCTGAGCAATTCATGCACTGTAGCAAACCCAACACACCAAAGGACACACCACAACACGGAAGCTCAGCTGGTGCTGACATGCAAGGCGGTCAAACACTGGAAGCGCCAAGGTGCCAAAGACTACTTTACCTTTCGCATCGCTTTCAGCTTTGGCAGCTCTGGACCTCAGTGCAGTGACTCGCTCCGAAAGACACCAAGATGCTGCACAGTCTGCCTCGCAGTTTTGCGAGCGCGTGATTGTCTCACCCCTTCTCCACAGCGCCTGCAAATCTGCCAACCATGGCGTCGCACCCACCAATCTTGGCTCCTCATGCAAGCTTAGCTCTACTTGGTGAGTGCTCTGATTTATGGCACCGAGTAAGGAAAAAGACATATCTCCAGAACCCCCCCTCCCAAACAACTGCTTCTTGGAACATGTCCAAAATCCCCTTGTCCAACAAGCAGTGGTTGACACCCGGGGTGGTCCTTACAACCCACGCAGCCAGTTTTCGCCTTCGATTCGCCTTCGATTCGCGGCTCCCAAGAGCCCCCGAGGCAGCGGCTCCAGGGCCCGCAGCGTGTGCTGAAGAATGCCCTGGCTCTTCCTTGGATCTACCCGAACCGAACCGAACGCCTTGCCGTTTACCTAGTCCATTCTTTCCAGGCATCCTCCACCCAAACCCTGGGGAAACAGCTGGTTGTTGAAAAGAACGATGGCTGAAAAGAATGGGGAATCAACCCCTAGAGTTTAGGGACTTGGAAGTAAGCATGTGAATTCACCGTTTGTCCACTAGCAAGGAACCCAACAAAAACTTGGAAATAACAGGGTGAGCAAAAGTCGAGGTTTCTTGGCCAGGGGCAAATATGGACCACAAAGGGGTTTCGCCGCAGTGGGACACGGGAAGAAAGTACCATCTGGCACAGGGATTGCAAACATTTTTATGAACAACCCTAACCCAACTTGGAACACGGGGCATAAAATGAGACCATTGGATATGTTTTGGCATTTCGAGGCCTGATTCAGGAAGCGACCTAAGTTTTTAAGGGACATTGTCAAATGAACAACAAATCCCCTACCATAAGGGGGAAAGGAATCACAATAAAACTCCAGGGTCACCCCCTCCCCCAATTCCATTTTTAAGGGTAGGGAAGTCTTAAAAGGATTGATTACCGTCCCTGCGAACCTTGGACTGGCGTCTGCGTCAATCTTCCCACCTACCCGTTGGATCGATTGAGGCCCTCACCGATTGGCTGTGCCGTTTACCTCAAGGTCCTTTCAGCATCAATGACGAATTGCGCGTCAAGCGGCTGTGGGTCAAAAATAGGTACCCAAAATGGCACCCTGGTAAATGGAAACAATGACTAAAACCTGTGGTCCCTGGTGGTTTAATTTGAGCCCACACCCAAGCAAAAAAATCACGTACACGGCATGGGGCGTGCAGGGTCTCCGACACTAAGGGACGTAGGGCCACGCAAGAGGGGTGCCGCGATGCTGTTGCGCCCAAAACAATGTTGCAGAGGCAAGGAGGGAGAGGGAGGAGCACATGTCAAGCAAAACTGGGAGGTGTGCGCACAGGGCACGTTCCCAAAACCGCGCGAAAAGGAAGGGAACGATATTTAGGCACGCAAGAAGGGATCCCAAAAGCTGTGCCACTTGCCATTTGTGATGTTATTTCCATGTCTCGTAATGTCCGGGCTCCAGCCGGAAATTCCAGCTCATATTTTTCGAGAATCAAGACCTGGCGACTTGAAGTTTGTGTCTGGGCCCCTGGGTTCAAAGGCAAACCATCTCTACCAACACTTGGCCCTCAGCAAATCTTCGAGAACCCTCTTGCCGGGGCTGGGCCAGGAAGCATCCCAACACGGAGCTCTGGCATGATGTGCGGGGTTCACACATCGTGGGGGCTGGGGGGGAGGGAGGGGAGGGGGAGGGCCCAAAAAACCCTTATGAATCCCTTGGCCTTATTCAGGGCTTTCTTGGGCCTCCCTCGCCCCCGCCCCCATAAAAACACAATTCTATCCCTCTTTGGGGCCCCCAGTCAAAGCAGCACAACGTCGCCGCAGGTTCTCAAAAGGTGGGGAAATCGGAGGCATTGTTGGTGACCCTTGCTTGGTTCTTTGGAAGAAATCGCATCCTCAGAATAAGAGAGGTATTGCGATCCTCATTGGGGCGCTTCAAAAGTGCTGCGCTTGATTGCCTCAACATAAATGTCAACTCACAGTCCGATGCATGATCATTCTATGTATACATATATATATATGTAGGTAAACATACTATACAAGGTTGTATTATATTATATACACATACATGCATACATAAATATATATATATATATATACGTATATATATATATATATACACATACACATTCTAATTGTACAATACATTGCCTACATATTACGTACACATCATAATGTATAGCACGCGCAAATAGCACATGCCAGGTAGGTCGTCTCAACCTTGCGGTTTTGGGCGAACACGAAGTAGCCCAGGGAAGCAAATGAGCACAAGGTAGATCACAAAGTGCCCACAGCACCCGGAAACACAACTCGGGTGAAGCTGTGGATGATGACCGGGTTGAGGATGTGACGGTAGAAGAGGAAGATGTTTGGGGAGGTTTGGAAACACGTTGCAAAAGTAAATCGGGAAGTATGCCACCAAGCCCTGGGCGCCCGCGCCGTAAAACCAGGTACCTCCTAGTGCCAGCCCTATCCCGCACCAAGCAGCAAACTACTTAATGAGGGGGAAGACCGCCGCACTATGGCGCCTGACGTTTTACCGCAGAATACCTGTCGGGAGGTGGAAAACTTGAGCCAAACGGCCATTCGGCCGTTTTGCCACATGATGAAACAACACGTGAACAAAACACACCTTCCTCATCCGATATCTGGACGAGAGAAAGGATGCGAGACAGTTGAGTTCACGACGAAAGGGACCATCCAAAAATGCCGGCGTCAACTCAGAGGTGAGCCAAACGGCATCACCTGGGCCCCAGTTAAAATCCCGCCACCACCCCGAATTATCGGGGCGACAGGATTATTTGACGAGTGGACCACATGAGTGAACAAAGACATATTGGAGGAACCAGACGAAGATTCCTCTCGTGCCGTTCATGAGTTGTCATGGGACGATGCCATGCGGAGGGGGATCCTATCTGGATCACCGCGCCTCACTGCACGCCGTGGAGCGGTTGGAAGAGTAGTCGAGTTGGGAGGAAATTAGAAACGGAAGTTCCGAAATTGGTGTGAAAATATCCGGCTATGGCCGGCCCGGCACTTTTAGTGCGGTCACAGCCTCACACAGGATCGCCAGGGGAACCGTCTCCGGCGCGCACGGCAGCGGTGCGGGGGGGACACGAGCAACGCCGGATCAGCGGCACAGGGCAATGGAGACCATCACCCCCAGCAGCGCCGCACGGGCGAGAGGAGGACCGGCGCGGTCGCGTTTGTCGGCGACACACGTACTATCCTCGCCCTTCTAAGGCGGATGCTGATTGCGGTACCCGTCTAGTCTACCACCCTGAACCAGGCTCTTCCCGATCCCTGGGCGCGTCGTCTCTTCGGCGTCCACCACGGTCACCTCGATCACCTCCTCCATCCCGACGGCGATCCTCACCACCACCCCTATTGTGGTCACCAGCCGGAGGTCGGCGAGGCGGAGGGGGATCTGATTGGTGACGTCGGTCATCCCTGCGCCGGTCCCGGTGGCGATCGCGACGGTCATCGCCCGGGTCATCACGTCCGCGGCGCTCATCTCGCCCCGGGCCGCGCCTCTCGGAGGTCTCCTCATGACGTGGAGGAGGTCGGCGATCATCGCGTCGGCCTCCGCGGGTGTCCCTGCCACGATCATCCCTTTGTCGGGGCGGGCCGGGATCCTCGCGTCCACCTTTGCCAGGTCGATGTTTTCCTCGACCCTTCCCCTCACCCTTAGGACCGCGACGATCCTCGCGGGCCCCAAGCGCGGTCCTCGACCGATCGTCATCTCGGCGGGGCCGCGACTCATTTGCCGCACGAGTGGTCCGAGGCACACCCGGGGGAAGCTCCCACTCGTCGTTGTCGTCATCACGCGGGTCATAGCCGCGATGGCCGCCCAAGGAACCGGTGGCATCCCGTGGTGGGGACGCAGGAGTTCCGGGACCGCCCGATCGAAGACGAACTCGGGGAGTCGCGTCCTCGCCGGTAAAAGGATCCTTCTGGGTGTAGAAACCCTTAGTCCTGCCCCTTCTCTCCCCACCTTCCACACCGCTTCTCGCGGGGACCGGGGATGGGCGGGCAGGCTGGGCCATGCTCTTAGAGCTGGGTTGCCCGCTAGGCGGGACCTGAACGCCCCCCTGCCCTTTTTCGGGCGCGGGGACCCGACCACGAGATGTCCTTCTGGCCTTGGGTTGGTCGGACTCACCCTCCAGCTCGGACTCGGTGTCAGGGACACGAGTATTGATGGCCATGTCCTCTTCCTCAAACGGATCCCCAGTCGTAGTAACGCCTGCCGCAATGGGAGCGGGAGGAGGAGGAGGAGGAGTTGGCACAGCATCGCCAGAACTGACGCCTGCATGCGGCACCACGGGAGTCTCCGGTTCTACCGGGACAGGCGGCGCAGGAGGAGCCGGGGGCGGTGGCGGAGGGGGAGGGATCTCCTCCTCGTCGTCGCCCATGGGCTCGTCAAGGTCGTCAGGCTTCTCGTCATCTTCGTGCGAAGAACCATCCGATCCCAGCTCATCCTCCGCTGATCCAGCAAAGTCGGGCTCGTCTTCGTCCTTCACGCCGGGGCCTGGTGTAAGGCGAATTCCGGGTCGATGGCGATCGCGGGGTCGGAAGCGGTATTTCCTTGGTACAGGGTCGGACAGCTCCTGTTTGATGTCATCCTGGGTTTGAGGACGGTCGGCCAAGCAGGTGTCGTAGGCGACGGTGGACGTCCGGTAGATCAGATCGTCCATACTGCTGAGGTCGTTGAGGGTGTAGACATACCCCTTCTTAATGCCTTCCCGTATCGTGTCCATAGCCCGTTTGAGGCGCGCGGCAGGATCGAATCCGGCCTTTCTCCGCATGGCCTGCAATATCCCGCAGTGCTGTGCGAGCAGCCCCACCTGGAACTTGAATCCCTCCCCGGACACATCGTTGGGGAGTATCGGAGAAAGGTGTCCTGTTCTCAGCCCAATGATATGGGCCTCAAGAATGTAGTAGGACGTGTAAAAACCGCACCGGTTGGCGTTGAAGTTTGCGGTGGTTAGGCGTCTGCCCCACTCAGCCGCATATCCCTCATATTCTTCGAAGAATTCGGGGACGGAGCTCCCGTTGAAGGCCAGACCCCTTACCAAGATCGCCTTCGCTACCCACTCTTCCACGTTGTTGTCGACCGTGTCACGGTATTTGCCGTCAAGGACTTCGTCTCGGAGCGAGTCGTGAAGTCTTCGGAAAATGCCATCCACGTCCTCTTTGTCAAGGTACTTAGGAGGCCGCATCCCAGACATCAACAAGGACCGGGCATCGACGGCGGGACTCTGCGAGTAGAGGGCCATTCCGATGGCGTTGGCGTCTGCGTTGTTCCACAGAGCGGGGACGAAGCCCTCGTATTTTGCCAGCCAGGGAGGAATCACCCCGTCAGTGCTCGCTATCGTGCGAGGGCCGCCGTTCGTGTCTCCGGTGGGCAGGACGCCATCGTAGAAGATGGGAAGGTAGCAGGCGGTGCACAGGTGAGCGCCGACCGGATGGGCCGTCATGCACCTATGGCATGGAACGGGCACCACCTCGCGGGCATGTTCCGTCTTGGTGATCTGATGGTACTTCTCCATCTCGTCCCGACACTTCCTCGGGTTATCACTCATGGAGTTGAGGAAGTTGGGCGGATAGCACCAAGGCCTCAGGTAAATGATGGAGCAGTCCTCCTTGAAGTAGACGCATCTCCAGTACCCGATCGCGATGTTCTCGCGCGATGCAAAGGTACCCTGACGAGTAATATGCATGCCCCCATTTTCCATGGAGAAGAAACGTGCATCGATAGCCATGACCACATATCGGGGATCGCTCCTTTGGCGTCGACCCGAGGTGTGCAGCTCCGTCACGTTGCTGTCGGTGATGCGGTCGACAGTGTCGTTGGGGCACTCTCCGTGATCGCGGAGGGATTGATACTCATCCGGCCGAGAGGGAAGGAGCTCGATCAGAGCTCGCCCACCCCGAATGATCGCCCCACGTTCTACGTAGAGCCGATACATTCGGAGAGGCACCACCTTGTAGAGCGTCTTGGGAACCACTTTGCAGGTGATAGGAAGACAAACAGGGCTCTCGTAGAGCATGTATTGGTATCGTTCACGAAATGCCCGGTAATGAGTGTCGGATCCGATCTCAAGCGACCTTACCGCCGCTATGCGGGCGGAACCAGGCAGCAACCGACGCTCCTTGTCACGAATGACGGTGATGATGATCTCGAACATTCC